TAATAGTTAGACTTCCGATGAAATAGGAGTTCGCTGGCTTAAAAAACTCTTTATTACTAGCACTTCTCTATGTACGAAGGGGGGTATAGGCTTCTAGTTCTTAACGGATATAGAAGCTATTTAACCCCTAGATTCGATGAAATTTGCGAGTAAAATAAGGTTATACTAATTTGTATACCTCCGCACTCCTCTTATCTTTTATAACCCCTAGATATCGGTTGTTTTGCTATGTTAAAGCGATTATATAGTCGGCTGGTTAAAATAAAAATGCGGAACGGGATTAACTATATCGATAAACTTGACTTCCTCGAAGTATATCTACTTACACGAATTGAAGCTTTTAAATCGGAGACTATTAAAAATAGCTTTAGAGTAGCCGGTTTAGTACCCTTTTCACCTGACCGGGTGCTTTCAAAGTTAAATATTCGTCTTTGAACACCGACCCCCCTCCGAGCCGTGGGAGCGAATTAAGCCGGAATTTTACACTAAAAACACCAGCTATAGAGAAAGAACTACGTCGATAGGCTTCGTTAATCAAATCTTTACTTCGTATAAGATCTCGAAGCCCACTAAGCCCGTTAGATCGTGCATTAAATCAACTTGTGAAAGACTTCCGTCTCACGATATAAGGTGCTATCTTACTTGCGAAAGAAAACAAGGAATTACGCGCTGAAAACGAGAAGAAGAAGTAAAAGCGCACTCGATCTCGAAGGTAGATACCCGCTGAGGAAGGCCTCTCGGTTCAAGAAGCTTCTCAGTTAATTACTAAGCCGGTAGAAGCATTTGTAGCACCTCCCCCTCCTCGGCGGAGAAGGCCTTCACCACCTTTGCAGCCCCGGATGAGAGCATTACTAACGTGTGGTTTATGTAAAAATCAGGGCCATAGGAGAGATGCATGTCCAGATAGATGATCAATTTAGTCTAATCTAATTAATGGTGTTTTGGTTGAGATAAATATAGTTGAATTCAATGAGTTGGTTTGGGTGCGCAGCTCGCTTACCGAATACGTTAGTTAGTTATTTGACAGGTAGGTATGGCCTGGAAGTTATGGCAGCATAGGCTTGGCACGGGGCTTGCCCAGGACATCTCTGACCTGGGTGAAATGAATTTTTTGGCCTAGGCTGTGACGGTTCATGGATGCTTGGGTTTTACCACTACGCCATGCTGGCCAAAAAGGCACAATGTTTGGTCAGCGACCAAGCACCCAAGCTACTATATATGCTCGATCTCTGACAGTGGGTGACCCAACTGATCCACTGGCACCGATAGCCCAGGGGACACACTTTAGTTCCCAGGGCTGTCCAGTTCACTCCCAGGAGCTGTAGGTCCTCTTATTTATTATCACCTTGATTCTCGCTTTGAGGGATAGGACGTGAACACAATCTGTTTTTCGCTTCGTGCGTGCAAATACCACTGAGAGTATCTCGCTACCAGGTCCGTGGAGCGCAGGAATGAACTCTTGCCGGAGTATATGACCATAGGGCAACTGTTCCTCAGGGTCAAGGATCCTATACCGTGGAGGCGACAACCAGCTGAAGGATGAGAATTCTGTAGAAGCTTTGGTTTTCCAACTCGGTGTTTGTGATTCTATCGTTGTCCAGTGGCGTGTATTATGCAACCAAGCTCCACACAATCGTACCGAAGGCTTACGCGACGAGTTGAATGAAACCTCCTAATTAGGTTCAGGGACCGGCCGACGGAGACAAGTCGCCTGTCAACGGAGACTTTCTCGCGTTCATGGAGGTAGCTGAGTAATCCGGCATTTGTAATCCATAACCTAGGTAGTTAACTATCTACAGTCCGTGGCATCAATAGACAAAACATTATTTGAGGCGGGATATTACTACTCTACCACTCTGAGTTTCAGAATTCTGTATAAAACGTGATAAGTTCAACCAGATATTACCGTTGATTTCCTCGCACGCCTTATCTTCTCTTTGCAATTAAATCCACGTTGAAACTCCTTTTATGTCTCTGCAGTATTTGTGCACCTGCCTTGGACATTAGAAAAACAGAATGTCAATCCCCACCGCTTCTCATGTTATAGCCGTCGTCGGCGTGACAGGGAATCAAGGAGCTGGCGTTATCCAGGCGCTGCTCGGCTCTAGGACCCCAGACGGAGGTCTATGGCATGTCCGGGGCGTAACGCGCGATCCCAACTCACCAAAAGCGAAGAAGGTTCTATCCGACCACCAGACAAGCGACAACCGCCTTTCTCTCGTTCCAGGCGACGTGTACGACAAAAATTCCTTCCGAGTCGCCTTTGTGGGTGCATATGGTGTGTTTGCCATGACTTCCGAGACCCATATAGGAAGAATCCTGGAGAAGGATGAAGAAATGAAGCATGAGATTGAAGCTGGTCAGAATATGGTCCTGGCTGCGGAAGAGTGTGGTGTCAAGCATTTCGTCTTCAGTAGTCTGCCAGACATGGTCAGCGCGACGGGGGGTCGATTTGTGAATATCCATCACATGAACAATAAGTATGAGGTTGAGAAGTTCGCGAGAGAAAGACTTAGCAGCGGGGTGACTTGCCTTATTCCGGGTTTGTACCACAGCTCTGCATCGCAATCCTGTACTGACAGCGGGCCTTCTTTTGTTCAGGATTCTTTTATTCTAATTTGCGTTGGCCTCAATATACCATCCGCCGATGTGAGTTCGGCTTGAAAAATCCAGACCTTAACCCATCCAAGGTACAGGCTAATATGACAATTTGGTAGCGGACGGCGTCGTTGAGTTTCGTATTCCCATCCCCGGTGGTCAAGTTGCACAGTGGACAGATCCAATCCACGACATGGGAATTTTCGCAGCGAGTAAGTTCATTTAATTTCCCCTAAACCGGGTAAAATGAAGAATCCATTCAAAAGGGTAACTAACAAGTCGATTTGTTTCAAAAAGGAGTATTCGAGCTCGGTGTCCCAAAAACCCACGGAAAGACCTACTTCGTGCTAAGCTCTCGCACCACACCCGGTGAGATGGTAAAGACATTCACAAGAGTCACCGGCCAACCTGCGATCCACGACCCCATATCTGCGGAGGAGTTCGGCGAAATGACGGCTCCGCGCGTCGGGCCGGCCTTTATGGAAGATGCCAAGGAGATGATGGAATGGGCTGCTGTGGTGCCTCCGGATAGAATCTGTTACGGGGCTTTCGCTGAGGATCAGGATCGCTCGTTTGAGGAGCTCGGTCTGAGGGCTTCTACTTTTGAGGAGTGGCTTCGCCGTAGTGGATGGATGGGTTGAAGTAGTCGTCCGAGGTGAACTTCCCCCTCCGACCTCGCTGCGCAAGGACATTTTAGCCGCGTCACTGAAGTCCGTGTTAACACTGAATAGATATAATATTATCCTCTGGGTAGTATTAGATGATATCAAAATTATCTTATTCGTAACATCAAAAGACATCAATATTATCGACCTTGAAGATTACTAGTATAATAAATTTAGCATGCGCGGGATCGGGTTGGCGCGGATTAAATTCCTCGGAGGACACCTGTAATAAGACATTGAGATCCAGGGGCGTTATGAATACGAGGCATAGATCGCAAAGACGCCTGTAGCACAAATGATATGGAATTATGTTGAGAACGACTAAGACTTGCAGACCAGCTTTGATTATACTAGCATCCACTGAAAATGGAGATGGCGCTATGAAAGGGCCGAGGAAGAGGTGTTCTTCTTCTCGAAAAGCGCGGAACTACCTTAGTCTATTTAATCGGCGAAAATTAGATTATAAAATGTATAAAAAGGAACCCTCTCCTCTCCTCCTAATTCTTAAGACGCTATAATTATAAACGTGCGAAGTGCGAAGACCTAAAGATTATTTAGGAGTAGTTTAATCTTATTTAAAAAACTATTATTTAATTTAGGATCGACCCTAATAATATCTATAACTTCGATAAGACTAGTTTCGTAATAGGGTTAATCGCTACTATAAAGGTAATTATAAGAGCTAAATTCTACGGTCGGCGCTCGCTTTTATAGCCTAGAAATAGACTGCGACATCGCCCGTCTATGGGCGATGTCGCAGTCTAATCTTTATACTCTCGTAGACTCGAACATATCGAATTATTGATTCGAATACTCGAGCACTTTTCTAGGAGAGTCAGATTCCAAAGGTCAAGTGAATACCTAAAACAGATGTCACTTATCCAATGGGTTGTAACCCGCTCCATTCTGGGAGCCGAGGGTGTCACGCCAGTTCTAATGCAAAGTTCTTGCCCGAGATCATATCATGGGTTCTGTATCTTAAGCTTACGGGCTAAACAGCCAATTTGGCCATCGGAGTTGCCATTTTAGCTTAGTTCGATCTCGCGAGGCACAAGGCTGAGCTGCCCCCTCGACCCCCAAGGGTAAAACAGGGAAACAATCCTAGGCAATTGCCATCGACTCATATAACGATGTTACCTAAAAAAAGGAAGCAAGGTTCCCTTGGCATTATACCGAATCTTCATCTCTTAGTATCGAACAGTTAAGTGGTGTCCCATCTGCACTACATCTGATCTCAGCACCCCTTCAACCACTCGTCTTCACACTTCCATTATCCTATTTTGTTTTTCATTGCTATCTTTCATTTCAAACTCACAATGGAACAGATTACTGGAACGCTCAACCTCAGCTTTGTTGGTTGTATTAAGCAAGATACCCTCGATCCTCGAAACGACCAATAATCCCACATTTTGTACCTGGCTGCAGTCTCTGATTCGAAGCACAATGTTCATGCGCAGTATAAACGTTCTTTTTAATTGAGTCAGAGTTTCTTTGGCAATGATTTAACTTCATTTCATAGCACGATAGTGCCGTTGCATATAACGCCATCCTAGCGAGCATGATACCACAAACCCCGCACCTGATAGCAAGTGTATGGCACATAGTACTAGGATTCACAACAAGAGTACTCTGTAGATTCCAATCATAATTTTACTTTAAAGTAGGTATATAAGTCTAGTCTTCTCGCAGAGAATATTTTCTAGTTCATCATTGTTGCTGTCTGTCCTAAAAGAAGATATGGCTCCCTCCGCGATAGAAGAACAAACCCCAATCAAAAAGACCACCATCAAGCCATGGAGCCGACCTGCGCCTACTAATGAGAAGCTTGATTGGGCACCCCTAGTTGAGATCGATCTTTCTCGCTTCGACGAACCCGGCGGAAAAGAAGAGCTCGCAAAGAAATTATACGATGCTGTGACACGAGTCGGGTTTTGGGTAGTGGTGGGACACGGACTCGACGACGAACATATCCTCCACCAATTCAGTATCGGCAATGCGTTTTTCAAAGAGAATCTTGAGGAAAAGCGGAGCTTCGAATGTAATTTTGCCGAGGGCGAGTACTTCGGCTACCGTGAAAACTCACGGTGGGTTGGAGAAACGGGTGTGAAGGACAATATAGAAATGGTACGGCCTTGTCTATCTACATAATTAACTGAGCCTAGCTAACTTGTGCAGCTCAATATTCCCAAAGCCATCCCTGCATGGGATGACGTTCCTAAACACAGAATCGTCCGCCAGAACTACGATGAGATCTCCAGCTTCCATCGAGATCTTTTCGACAAGGTTATCCGCAAGCTGTTTGTTCTAATGGCAATTATCCTCGAATTACCAGAAGACCACCTAGTCCAAGCCCACGCGTACGACAAGCGTTCCGATGACCACTTGCGATACATGATCTACAACACTCGCACGCAGGAGGAATGGGATAAGGCACAGGCCTACACCAAGGGCGGTCATACGGATTTTGGCAGCTTGACACTGCTCTTCTCGCAGCATGTTGCTGGTCTGCAGATCCGCGCACCAGACGGGGAATGGAAATATGTGAAGCCTGTCGAGGGTGGGATTACGTGCAACGTCGCTGACACGTTATCGTTCCTTACCAATGGCAAGTGCCCACATGAGTTGTCATGATAGTATTTTGCTAACACAGAGCCACAGGCTTCCTCAGATCAACGATCCATCGTGTTGTCACACCTCCCAGAGATCAGATCAATATTCCCCGTCTCGGGTTGCTCTATTTCTGTAGACCGGGTGATCATACCGTGATGAGAACTGTGCCTTCGCCTTTGCTTGACCGTCTTGGTCTTCTAACTGAAGAAGACAAAAGTCAAAACAAGCCTGCCCCCTCGGGGACTGAGTATGTTCGAGCTCGGGTTCGGGATGTTCATCATAAGGCTGTGATTGATCGCCGGGAGAACACTTCGTTTGAGTTTAAAGGATTGAAAGTGCCGAATTATTATCAGTGATAGATTATATCTGGCTCGGCAAAGTTTATTCCCGTGCCTATGTCTGGTAATAATGAGATAGTGATAGTATCAGGAGTCGAGAAACAACTCAAAATTGTAGCTGGTGACTGTGGTTTTTGTTAGTTATTGGCATAGACATCACATTCTTGATATCATCTGCGACGTCATATTCAAAGAAACTCACGTGGACAATACAGGTGATATAAGCATAGGATAAAAAAAGGTGGCCTGAGGCAGATCATTCCTCAGCCACAACCCCGCAGTGAGTCATGTATAAAATTGTAACTGTCAGAACCTCAAAAGGATACTAGTAATGTAAATAGGGTGGGGAACACAAGGTGTTGGTGGGTATGATCGTCGGAACTTGACTAACATGGGGTAGCCTCATGACTAGACTGCCGAACAACTATGTTTGATGAAATACCACGATGTCTCAGTACGTAGGATTTATCTGTTCTCTAATACGTGGTTTTTGAAAGATAATTGGGTTTTCAATAAGACATTCAATATTTCAATCGTAAGGCAAACTAATCCCGAGAGTGGGAACTAAAGAGTGTGAGGCTGACAGCCTTGTCCCGAAAGGGCGCCTTTCAATCATATCAAAGACAAAGGAAAATCGGCAAATAAAAAGTGAAAATCCATCGCAGACAAGCATCTCCACATAAAAAAAATGAGTCACAGTAACAACAGCCAATAAAGCATGTAGTAAAACCGAACAAAAAACATGCATGAACATCGTCGAATTTCCGCATCTGTTATTGGCCAATGTCTCCACACCTGCATGCTCCTTCCGGGAGCACACCAGTAATGGAGCCAGGCCAAGCCTGCAGATAATTGCGTACAATCAAAAATCGAGTCACAATCAAATCTGGGTCCGAGAATGGGAAATCCCGCAAATTCAGAACCCCGAAGTGCACTCGGGTCAGAGAATCAAAGCTGGAAAACAGAAAGGTGAATTTCCGAGGGCGCATCTAGGCAGGCCCTATCAATCCAGATCATCAAAGACTGGGGTAAGGGGTATGTCCATAATGTGCTAATTACACATTACAGGCAAAGACCGTCTCGCGGTCTAAATGGGTGGGCAATCAATGCCCATCGCGAGTGAATTGAAGCTTCTTCATAGCGATTGGGGGTGGGGGGTGTGTGATCGTAATCAGAGAAACCAGAATCGAAATCCGTTGCCAGGTACGTTGCGAGGTATGCGTTCAACGGTGCTTGGGGGAACGCTCGACGTACCGGCGAGGAGTCTCGGAGTGGCGCTCCACGCGCTCCAGTCGGTCGACGCTGTACAGAGACCCACGGCTGGAGGATGGGCGGGCGGGAGAGCCACCGGGTGAGCGGTACATGATGGAAGTTGGGGAGCGAGAAAGGCGTGGGGATCTCTCGACAAGCTGGTAAGCCTCAGGGGACATGGAGCGAGGGCGAACCTGCTTGCCGGTGACCTGGCGAGCTGGGACGTGGTAGGTCTGGTCGTAGCTCCGGGACTGGGAGTGCTGAACTGTCTGGACAGGTTTGACGGGCTTCTGGATGACGATGGCCTTCTCGCGGATGCGCATACCTTGCTCGATAGCTGTGAGAAGCTCACGGGTAGCGAGGGCATCGCGAGGGAGCTTCACCCGTGTTGACTTGCCGCTCTCAAGGTCGACGGTAGAGTAGTGCTTTCCGTTCTGGCTATAGAGATAGTTGTGGAGAGCGCGGGCGTGCTTGTTGCCCGACTCGCAAAGTCCAAGGCCATCCCTGTAGGTCTGGACAGCGTGGTCGCAGGAGTGGCAGTGGTTGGCGTGACGCTCGAAGTCGTCGACCACCAGCTTCTCGTCGTCGCGGAGATCACGCACGACCGCGAGCGGGTCTATAATCTCTATAGGAGCTGGCATTGTGTTGGTACGGCGTAGTCCAAGTAGGCGTCGTGTCAGACTAGGACGAGAAGATCGCTCCTTGGTAGTTAAAGTCGAGGGGTCGACAGTGTACGAGGTTGAGCGGTAGGGCGACAGCGTGGCTGATTTATGGGGGTCACGCGAATATAGTAGATGATCACCGTGTGTAGATGATCGGATGTGAAACCCAAGTGTGACAATGGATATGGAATATAGAATGTGTAATGTCAAATGTGTGTTGTAGATATTCTAGTGGAAAGAGGTGGGGGGGTGGCTATTATATAGATGTTATGCAGGTTATAGATCGCACCCTGTAGCCTGGAGCGTATGGTGTCTGCTGGAGCCTTAGAGATCTGCAGTTACCTCCACAGTACTTAGCGCCTCACGCAAAAATACGGGAAATGCAGGTGCTATTCTTGTACCTCTCATATCTCTATTGACTGTGGCTGGTGAGGCTGTGCCTTTGGCTTCCAATACCGCCGTATCTGTCCTTGTCGTTCCCCTGATTGGCTCAACTCCCCTAATTCACGGTCAACTGTCACCGCACTTCTTCACTTCCCACTATTACCGCTATCTCTCTTTCGGTTCCCCGACTTCATTTCCAAGGCATTATTATTTTCACCTTATTTCCATGACATCAACTATCTTTCTTGAAGGTTTTATTACCCATGTCATACACCTTTCCCATGTCGTGTGGCTTATTCTTCTCGTGTTCCTGCGCTATGACAAGGGTACAAGGGTCCCGTGCCCCCTAGTCCCCCCCTGAAAACAGGCCTCAGGTTCGCGTCATTTGCGACCCTTTTGACTTGACAATCGGAAATAGAACCCTCAATATTCAATCGGAGCCAGTGCATTCAGATGGAGGTCTTTGGTCGGAGGGCTCGCGCCCATCCCTTCCCCACGCTCATAGGCTTCTGCAACTGCCGCATTGCGATGAGCGTCTACCGAGACAACACTAGAACTCCCCAAACCACGTCGCTGGGACTTCGAGCACCGTTCTCGTGTTCCATATTTGGAGATACTGGAGTGTGTTTCAGACTATCTAAGAATAGTGTGCGACCTCGGATTGTTTATTTTGGACCCCACGTTTGGCGATCATCACCAGCCTCAACTCCCCCTCTTAGCCACAAGCCACAAGGTATACGAGGAGCTCTCATCCAGTGCTTTTTTTCCCTCTATCCCCAATGTAGCACGACTGCTCACCCTCAGCCTCAATTGCGCTATCTCTGATCCTGATTCGATCCACCAGCCACTGATGTCTTTCTTCTCGGAAACTGCTTACTCGCAATTTCTTGCTTGTCGCTGCGCCGCCGGCGCTCAAGCCAAGGGTCCCTATTCGATTATGACCCTAGCTTGGATTCTATCTATATTTTTCTGTCTCTTTTCATTTACGTCGCTTGACGCGCAGGCTACCGTTCCTTCAATACATTCTTTCCCTATCTTCCCATGCGCCAGGAAGCCACATTGTCTATTCAAGGGGGCCTGATCCTACGATTGCGCATGACAACCTCAAAAAGGCCAGGTTGTTCTTTTTTTGTCGTACTCTGTTTCATCACACGCCGGCCGACTGTTTATTCATAGATCATCTCGATATGTCTCGTGTCAAGATATAACCGTCGAGTCATTCATTCCCTATTCCCATACTAACCGCCGACCATATCGTGGCCTATGCTAATCCTACCATATTGCCAATATGAATTGTATTATTGCAACCTCTTTCAACAGCCCAGCCGGGCTAGCTCAATCGGTAGAGCGTAAGACTCTTAATCTTAAGGCTGCGGGTTCGACCCCCGCGTTCGGCTATTCCTAAAAACCAAACCTGAGATTTCTTTTTTTCGTTGCAGAAAATTCTGCTTGAGCCTCGGCCTATACTCGAAGCTAACTGGTTGATGTGGCTATTGGGGTACACTAGTGGGTCGGGCCGATGCTTGAGCCAGCACATATCAGCGGGAAATTACATACATATACTCCGTATGTTTTGCATGATATCCTCGCATGAAAAAATTGCACGTAGATTACAAGCATTCAAGCAGCATGAAAACTCTTCACCAAGTATGACTAGCAAGGTATCATCCTGGCAGCGACTTGTGGCTTAAAACGGCCCGAGCGCAAGGCAGAAAACGCCTTGTGCAGATAAGGGCGCGACAAGGTTTGTCCTTCAGCTGGACATGGATCATTGGAGACTATAGTGTATGTAGGCATCAAATTGACCTTTCCAGGAAGTAACCATGCCATAATTCGTCATCACGGGCCTTATGTTGAGAATCCTGCAAGAAAACACCCGGGCTCCTTCATAATATATATTGTTCAGCTGGACATTACATGGAGTGGCTGCACTATCGTACCGGTTTTATATCGTGATCCTGGACGTACTTGCGTATTGTTTCCGATTCTAATTCCTCTAATTGGGTTATGTTCAATCTACCCCGGGAGATCAAGGAGGGAAGTACAGGGTTACTCCAAGTATACCAGCCCAGCGCGGCAGCCTACCAGGGACTACAATTCCGGAGTGAGAGTGAAACATACTGAGGGAATTTGCCACCTAGGCTGATTGTGACAGTCTAACGGCTTGTTCTAAGATTTGCTACCCCGTCTGCCTTAAGTCGTAGTAACCAGTATTCGAAGTTATCGACATGTTGGATCTTCCAGGCATCCTTGACGTACGCTTTCCCTCTTTTATCTATCATGGTAGCCTTGGTCAAAAGAAACCACATGTAGTTGATTGCTAATCGTATTGGAGCCGGAAAAGGGGAAATGATCCACCATGTAAAATACAGCCTGTACTGAGTATACCTGATTATGAATGTTAATCTGGATATTAATGAGTAATGAGTACAGCGGTCCCAATATGCCTGCCCCCACTTGGCATATTATTGAATGCTGGCGAGTTTGATCATTCTACAAAAGGCGAAAATCTCTAGGGATAGACTCGCGGATACTATGAAAAGAGGTATTATGAAGTCGCGTGATCTCTGCCCATTTCCCATATTCACTTTTACTGGTCAATCGGAGTTTGAATTAGTACATTCTATGCCATGGCTGTTTAGCAAATGTGTGGTTGTGGTTTTATCGAATGTCGTTGCGACTTTAGGTATCAGAGCGAGTATGCCCGGGTAAAGGAAGTGGAAATTATCCACTCTCCCTCTCTTGTAAAGAGAAGCAAACAGCAATAGTAATGGAAAGCTAGGAGAAGAGTGAGATGCACTGTCTCTTTATTTATTTATCCACCTACTGTCATGAAGCTCATTATATGCTCAATGGGGACAAATAGAGGTCTGACTCGCTGCAGGTAAGCAAGCAAGGCCTTGCGAAAGAAACGACACCGGTAATTGATAAAAAGCTCCTGAACTCAGTCCCCGATCTAAACAAATTTGATTAGAGAAGAACACTTAAGTTTAAGCGTAAATGTATAATCGCAATATTGGCCATGGTAAAAGATCTAGTTATTTTGATAAATTATGACTAACTTTCTAGCGAAGAATGCCCTTGTCTATAGAACAGGAACCTAATTCATATAGTTATACACAATTTAGCGAAGAATATATGTAGTACCCTTGTTGGAGTTGATAGGAAATACGGATGACTGGATTGAGGAACTATCGGAAGGAGGGCTATATATAGATGGGGCTTTAACAATTATGCTGAGACCTCAGTAAGGCTAGGCTACTCGCCGAGTTCAAAGACTCTCTTGATCCACGATATCTTGGCAGCCACTGCGCTACGTGCCACCGGTGAGTCTCCTGACATCAGATCAAACCCATGGAAGGCACCTTTCCAGACATGAAGCTCCGCGGAGACACCAAACTTCCACAGTTTCGATGCATACGCAACGGCTTCATCGCGGAAGACCTCTGCCTCTCCAGCGTCGATAAATGTAGGCGGTAAACCTGTCAAGTCTGTGGCCCGCGCTGGGGCAACGAGCTCGCTAACATCCGGCCCGCCTCTAGCACTCCCCAGAACCCAGTCCCATGCCATCAGATTTGTCGCTCCGCACCACGGCCCAACATTTTCATATTGCTTGGCGGAAACGGTCTCGCCACGATCATCGATCATGGGGGTTAGGAGCATCTGCGCGCGGAGTTTCGGGCTCTGGTTTCTATGGGCGAGCAAGGCACAGCCTGCAGCGATAGGGGCACCGCCAGAGCCACCTAGAACCATGATCTTTGTCGGGTCAATGCCGAGTTTTGCGGCATTGTCTGCCGTCCAAATCAGACCAGCATAGGCGTCATCGAGAGCCGCAGGGGCAGGGTGTTCAGGGGCCAGACGGTACTCGACCGTGACTGCCACGATATCGAGAGGCTCAAAGTATTCCAACACAGCGGGTAAGGTAGTGAAGCGGTTACCGGCAATCTGTCCACCGCCATGGACAATGTAGACAGCGGGCCGGGAAGTATTGGTCGATGACGCTGACTTGAAGACAGATAGAGTTACCATGTGGCCAGTGCTGTCATTGATAGTTGGGAGTGTGTGTTCTGTATGGCCCAGGTTGGGAAACTTCTCAAGCACTGTTTCTGCTGAGCCTATTGCCTGGGCTCGAATTTCGTCGAGACTGCCAAACCCCGCATTCTCGAAGGCCTTCAAGGCGACCAAAATGGCTGGATCATAGGGCGGGCGAAGTACCGGGGGTGCTTCCGCGCTGAGAGACATTTTTGATATGTATAGAGGACACAGGAATGTCGAACTAGAATAAACAGAGAGTGGATTGGATCATGATAAACAGATGGATGGGAAGACAGCACATGCTTTATAGAAACATCATCGGATATATCGTAATGCTATTGCCTCCAAGATATTGGACTGACCCCCTGGAGAACTTTCTAGATCCGCTCCGGACGAATGTAGGAAATATCTTGCTTGGTCCGGTTTCTCTGGAGGGATTAGGCGCGAGCATAAAACCGGACGACGTCGTCCACCTCGCTACGCCAGAAACTCATACTTTGCTCTCCACTTTTTTCCCCCAGCCCGCGAGATAAGTTCATTTATTATGTACATAACCCCAGAAACCCCAGACCAAGCAGCATCTGTGTCTCCATCAAGCCAAATCTAAAATTTTCGTTAGACCGGCACCTCCACATCTGCCCAAGGACTTTGGGGTAAGTCTTCGACCCATCCACCACATTTGGGTCATGGTCAATCTCTGATTGAATTAACTTTGCTGACATATCTCTGTCCACTTCCAACTTTAAACATCCGCTCAGTTCAGCTTCTCAAAGGTCCACTAAACTCCCTACTCTGGGGATTCTTTCTTCCTTCTAGCGAGAATACTGGCTGTATCCATCTCGTAGGCGCTTTAAACGGCGTATGTCGGACGTGGGAAACAAGCTGAATAATATACAAAATAATGACAGATTAAGCGAAGAAACCTAATAATGACACAGTCAGATCCCATCGTATTGTCCATAACTAGAAAATAAATCGGGTCTTTCCGATAGAATGGACTACACTCGGATCCCGGATTTTCCCCAGACTTTCGGGTTCAGATATTGCCGAGCCGAAACAGCATCTTGAACGCTCGAAAGTTAAAGTCTACAGGTTCCATTCGTCCGGCGGAATACCCCGGAATAGGAATTATTTATGAGGTGAAGATGCTGCATAGGACTTGGAATTCCATCCCAATTGTACCTATTGTTGCAGCAATCAGCCCCCGGGTGTAATTAGAAATTATTAATGAATGACCTAAAAGGCTTTTGATCCGATACAAATACACGCATCTCCGTATTTTTGCATCGGATCAAAAGCTTCATGTTGATACGTAGACTTGATAACTAGTAAACCACCTAAAAATTTGGACCCATGGATTTTGGTGGGATCAAAGCTTCGTTCTTATTTGGACTAATAAACTACCCCAGAAATATGGTAATACCTAGATTTGTATGGACGTTAAACATTCCTATGGACTTGGGAGCCAGAGGAACAAGGGTACTTTGACTGTTAGGGCATGTGTAACAGTAGGTCAGGTAACTACGTATTTCAATTTTTCTACCGTTCTATAACCAGGCATTCAGGCATCGAAGAGTCATGATCATTGATAATACATACACATTGCAAAATTTATTCTCTGATTGTGACCATCGAGGACATTTGTGGATACCTTCGCGCAAAGTCCGCATCGAGCGACCAGTTACTAGAATTGAGAATGTGTGGCTCAAAATCCGGGTTTAGAACCACTTCGAAGGAGTCGTTGCTAACAAGTAAAGGCTTCCAGCTAGGCCAGTTGACCGAGACAGACCTGCCGTAGTCAATATCGAACTTTTCCCGCGTATACTCAACAGAGCCCGAAATCATGGCGTTGCGCAATCGAGGGAATGGCACAAAGTCGGTAAAGATTTGGTGGGGCGTGTTATTTTGTATTTCAGTCGGTTGAAGCCATTCCGGTACGTCCTGGAGGGTTTCAAGAGATGGCGAAAGACGGTACTATTATACAAGTATGATTGTAAGCATTCTGCTGCGTTCAATTGAAGAGTTTGTTTAAAGGAGAGAATTCGGACAATATTAGGGTAGAACTGACACGAAGCAACCGATAGAGGAGAATGTAGGCTCCCCAACATACATCCATACCGTAAAAGCCCTCTCGCATCAACATTTTTATTAAAATCCGGGATACAACGTTCTCCCCTTCTCCCATGAAAAGGAGGTCAGGAAGGGATGGACTCCGCGGGATGGGTGGTGCCCGAGGTTGAGCCTGCGCTTCGATCAACGCATCGTAGACGGTATGCTCGAAGCAGTCTGCATACGAGTCGTGCACCTTTAGTTGACAGAGACAGGATGGGAGCGCTACACCTCGATATTTGAGTGTAGTCGGTGAAGGAGAATCTATGTTTGCATAGACAGTACTAAGAGCTTTTGAATCATTCATAGAGATGGGGTCTCTGTTAAAGGATTCCCGGGGTTGGCGATGAGCGTCAAGTATCGTTTGATTTGTCTCCGTTTCTAACGGATGTAACGGTGCAGGCAAAGCAAATGATTGCATGCTATTCAGAGAATACGGGCCGCAATTATGCAAATTTTGATGTAGACTCCCTGTTGTGACAGGCGGATGATTAAGCTCTCTTGATGTCATGTTGCAATCCACCGCCAGAAGACTTCGATCTGTTTCCATATACAGCTTTGGTGGCGCTTGTACGCCGTGTACCGGATTCGACGTCAGGTCGCTGGAGCTGGAGCTCGAATCTCCTCCCGTACCTGTGGTATTGCCATCCGGCGGGGTGAGCATGTCCACCGGCGGGGATATTGAGGATTGGGGTGGATGGCCACCGAGATGTGTATCGTGCAGATTGTGCCACCCATTGAGAATCATTGCCATGGATTTCTGGAGGCTATCCATCTGCCGTTTAATTGCCTGAACATCGGCCTGGATTTGGATTAATCGGTCCTTATCCGACTCGCGTTTAATTCTCTGCGTCTGCTTGTCTACCTCTCTCTTTCTTTCCAGCTGTCTTGGTGTCCGGCGTCGGGTCGCCTGCTTCGGTGCGGGGTCCATCTCCATATGGGGAATAAAAGTGAGAAAATATATGAATTTTCCCCATAGCAAGCCGGACGATGTCGTCCGGCTTTTATACCTGTGCTGACTTATCGCTCCAAGGGACCTCGGGACATCGGGACCTCACTCGGGGACTCCTACTGGCAGGCGGATTTCCCCACTCATGCACACATAAGCTTAGCCCCACGGCAAGTTAGGCCATGGACGATGTCGTCCATGGGCATTTTGATGGTCACAAATTTCTAATCCACCATACTATAAGTCCCGTTCACCCGCAACCAATCTGAATGTCTTTATATTATCGAGAGCAAAACGAAATGAATCCCCTCGAGAGTTGGTCTCAGGCTTTGGGCTTGTCTCCGGCATCTCGGGGACAGCTATTCAGCCCAACTATACTCCACAACTTCTATTCCTTATACCAAAGTCCCTGGAATTGAAATTCTTGGTCTTACCTCGAGAGTGCGGGGTTGCTCCACATCCACCCGGCAACTCTGGACGTCGACCCTTTCAACCGAACTGACCTGAATGTTTCCAACGTGATGACAGATACCCATCCCGGAAAAAGTGACATCAATCCTGAGACCTGGCTCTCTTTGGATGGCTGGAATGGGCGGTTTCAGACATCTAGTGGTGGAGGATGGATGACAGGCTGGATGGAAAGCTTCCAAGGTTAGCTGTCCGAGCGAGCCATAATTACGCAGTCAGTGTCACGGATGGTGGCCCACAGTCTTCCAAGAGCATGGGCACTAAATGAAGATGGTTCAGTTAATCTCCAGCTCCTCGAACACCTCGCATCTCGCGCCTTGCACAAGCTTTCTGTTCTTGGTAAAGCGATTACCACCTCGTTCTACGGAAACCCCCCGACGTATTCGTACTGGAATGGATGCTCGACAGGGGTTTTACAGGGTCTAATGCTTGCCCAGCGATATCCAGACGATTTTGGCGGAATTATGGCTGCTGCACCGGCAATCAGTTGGGCAAAGTTTATTATAGCGGAATATTAGCCGCAACTTGTGATGAAACACCCTGTTGTGTATCCGGAAATGTGCGAACACGATGCAATCAAAGACGCAGCTATATGTGCCAGTGATAAAAACTTGATGGCCTGAGGGATAAAGTCATCTCTGCGTTCGGATTTTGCCAGTTCGACCCCCTCTCTGTTGTTCGCCAGCCATACGACTGTAATGGGGAGACATAAATGATTCCAAAGGAGGTCGCATTCATTGCACAACCGACTTGGAAGGGCCCCAACGCAACCGCGAATTACTACGAGAGGGTTCTCGAGAAAGACCCTGCTGCAATGGACTTCTATCGATATTTTGAAGCCCCGGGTGTACCTTACTGTACGCCAGTGACCTCCAAACCCCCTTGCCCGCAGGACGTGCTAGCAGACTTGAGGCGATAAAGCCCCAGAGACACTGAATGGCGAGTGAAGAGATCCTTACGATCAGTCGGTCTTGATAATGGAAAGACCATTGTGCCAATATCCTCTCGTGGCTCCATATATTGGGGGTGATATCACTTGGGCTTCGTCTTTCAGTTGTGAGACGGAGTTTTGAAGTGATATCACATTCACGGGCGCGGAGTGACTTCGGTGTTGGAGAGGTTGAGTGGTATTCTGGGGAGGCCGACTATTAGCACCCTGGTGAGATGTTGCAGCAAAGAGCCGCTCGGTGGAAATAATTGTAAATAGCCAAGAAATAGTCCAAAAAGAGATAGATGTACCATTCATGGGTGAGCGCCCAGCCTTTTGCGTATTGCAAGGACTCCCTTACATGCTGTCAATCAGACCCTTGAACTGAGAATTATGCCTCTAAAATCTCGCACACGCTCTCAGCCGTAAAGATATTTCCACTCCCAGAAGACGCAGACTACCTTCATTCGTCGTATTTCAATCAACTACCATTTCGAGTTAACTCACCTCACATTCTCCACTACTCGGATAGAATTAATAAATTGACGTCAATTGGTGCCTAGTCATCAAAGTGAGAAACTTACGTTATTCCCATTCCCATCTATGCAGATTAAAAGACAATTATTCTTTGGAATGTGAAGATTAATACCAAAGGATTATTGGCGTTCAATCTAGGAAAATACCAGCGTACTTATATCCTGATATCTGGCAAACAATCTGCTTAGTCTACAAGCAACAATGAGAGATTGGGTCATCTAACTGTAACGGCTACTAGCGAAGGGGAGGAAGATAAAGAACAATAATTGTCCCTGCGTCTGGCAAACAATGGGAGATGAAATCATCCAACACTAACAATAGTCTTAATGACTTTCAAGGTTGCAAGGCTCCGAGGGGCCTAAGCGAGCTCTGTGCAGGCTTTACGTTGATAAATGTCATCAACCGGACATGGGTTCTATAGGGCGGACACTATAACGCGAAGAACTAGGTAGCTGCGGTCAAAATCAAAAGGATGCCACAGCAAAAGAAAAAAAAGTGACAGGGTCCAAAGGGGCAAAGGCTAGATGTCTAATTTTCAGTGTTTAGGCTAAATTATGCCTGGTTTCCACCCCCTTTCGACACGGAGGCATAAGGGATCTTGGTCACGAGCTCGGTCTTATGGGAGGTTCAAATAAATAGCCCCTTAACTGCGTCGTCTGGTACCTCAGTGACACCAGTCTTGTCATCATCTATGCCAGGGTTGTCGCTCGAAAGATACGAAAGGAGTAAATTCTCAGCGAATCCCATGCCTTCACCTACGACCATTCTGGGGCGTTGGGCATTGGTGCGGATCTTTCGATGACTCGCATGGATTAGATGGCCTAGAAATAGTTCCAACAAAGCCCCTAGAATTATGGAGAGTAATTTGTATCTAATGCGGCGTTACCGGCGTTTCGGGATACGCCCTGCAACGCTGCAATAGGAATTTAAATTGTGGCAGCAGCGAAGTAGTTTTCCGGTCACCCGGCGGTCGGACTGTTGTATTTGGGGCCATCTACTCCTTGGGAAAGCCTCTGCCAGATAAGGCAAGAACAGAACGTGAGATCAATGACTGAGTGTTATGTTTGTTGGTGGAACAGTCGAAAGCTAGCAAAATGAGATTTCTTTATTGTGAGGCCGGGTAGCTCATGTTTTATGGAACCTATGAGGCTTTCAGACACCATGACATGACTTAGTTTAAGACTACATTCACGCAAGATTTGGACATGAGTTGTCAGAAAAAGTACATAAAACACAATACACATTACATAAAGGATGCTGTCACATAAAGAACCCAGCTTTGGGCCTGCAGTTGATCCACAATTTCCACAAAGCTGAAACATACACAATCCCGCCCTAGTCAACATCTGATACCGAATTGGCATCGCTGTAGGAACATCGTGCTCTGACGACTGTGGGGCGCAATCTCCTTGGTACTTTATTCAGATTTTGGGGTGTATATTCTTTTGGGGGCCATAAACACGATGCCCCTTATAGGGCTAATATTAGGTCTATTGAATGAATAGTCATTTGGAACATAAGTTAGAATACTCCATATGTTGTAGGGCAATAAGGGCACAGGGAACAACGTTTTTGGCTAAGCTCCGGAAGGAAGCGAAACCTAAATAAGGTCCACGCCACGTGGAAGATCGGGGCCAATTGATTGGTCGAGCTATCCATATGCTCGTGCTATAGTGAGCCCTAAGGATATTCAACGCGGATTGCTACCAACTTCCTGTTTAGGAAGTAAGAACATTCCTTGGGGTAAAAGCGGTGCTCTATGGGATGATCTTTCAATTTTGCAATTGTTACCTGGGTACCTGGGCACTGGAAGTCGCTCATCAACTAGGACGTTTGGTCTATTTTTGTCAAAAGGGGGGACCAATATCGGGGGCTACAATGTATAAAAGGATCAAATGCCTTCGTGTCATTATACTGTTCACATTCATTAACTATCTACGGTTGAATTCAAGATGCGTTCTACCTTCCTCGGAGCGTCCCTTTCGCTCCTTTACGCGGCCAGCGTAGCTGCTGTCCCTCATTCAACCAGGGCTTCCGCGACCCCTGCGGCACCCTCTTCAACTCCTGCATTTAGGATAAATAAGCTGGCTGTATTGGCAGACCAGGCTACAGGGGCCTGGAAAGATGTCCAGTGTACTTCCGACATCACCGATGCGACACTGGATCCCACCTCTCGTTGGAATGCAGCCAACGCCGATGATGCCCTGAAATCCGCCCTGGATGCCTGGGCTACATCTGGTCCTTCTACTGGCTTGGGATTCCCTGAGTTCATCAGCAACTACTTCTCTGGTCCCGAAAACTGGAACTGTGCAGATATCGGCAACACTGCTTGCTCCACAGTGCTGACCTGTAACCAGGCCCAGTATCCTGCCGGGTGAGTAGACCCCAGGCCTTTACAATATATACACAGAACTGAAGGCTTACATGGGCATGCAGATATCTGATTATGAATTCTTTCTCTTCGATTCACCAGGTATACCATCCTTTCTCTGGGTTTTATGGCCAGTCGACTAACTAAGAACACCTTCTGCTAGCTTCATCAACAAACCTACAACGCTCTCGGAGATGCCCTTAATAGAATGCAAAATGATATCGGTGCCTTTGCGGGCACCTTTGCTCCTCAGCTCGAAGACGATACTGAAATCTTCAAGTTCATTATCAACGCCATTGTCTTGGTGGCTAGCGTCGGTAGCTCCTTTGCATGGAATATCGGTAGGTCTATGTTCTGGCCGCAGCCTGTTCGATGCTAATGCCGTATCACGATTATAGCCTTCAAGGGTCTCACTATGGCCGCATCAAAATACTTCTCCATGGGCAAAGACGTAACCAACGCTGCGCTCATTTCATTTACCACCGGCATGGGTAAAGACTCACTGAAATCGTTAGTCTTTTCTTCTCGGGTTTACCCTTGAATTCATCTCTAACCTAAAAACAGCGCCAAAGATGCATTGGGCACCCAGAATGGAATTTCATCCGCTCTTGGCGTATACTTTTCGGCCTGGACTGGCATTGAGAGCGGATATGTGGCCTCACTCTTTGATGGAGTAAACGATGATACGTCAATTGCTACTCTTCAAACTCTAACATCCAGCGGCTCAATGCTTCTACTTTCGTCCAAGGTGGACTTGACTGGAATGACTGCTCAGGCGCAAAAGATTCTTTACGGACAGCTGATCCCGGCGGCTTGGTCGCAAAGCCCTGATGACCTCTTACCTCGGATCCTGTAAGAATAACACCCTGGCATTTTACAAATGGTGGAAAGCATATACTAATCAGTTACCTTTGATCGATAGGCGGAAGGCCGGAGGTTGTTCTACGTCAATTGACCAAGATGTTCTCCTTTACATGACTCAGAGCACTCTAGTTGGCGGGTATGTCTGCTACAACAACGATGCTTTCTATGTCGTGAACGTCAATCCCACTCCTGGCTTGACGCATTTCGAAGGCCTCCCCGGTGGAAACCATGAGACCCTCAACGGCGATGCCTGGGGCGGTGTCATCCTTGAAGATATAGTCCAGAGCTCGTACCAGGCATACCAGCTGAATGGCAACGCAAACGGCTATGAAATGCCTGCTCTGTCAAAGATTATCGATGGAGCAGGCACAGAGGGTAATTTGGCTTTCGAGAATGGAATCCGTACCCCGGGATTCTTCAACCTGCCAATCTGCGACGATATAGCTGCAGCAAATAATAATGTCGACATGGGCGGTGCAAAGGGAAAATACTGGCCTTGCGAAGCACCGGAAGGATACAACGCTGGTGGAACCAATGTGGTACGTGTCCGATGAGATCAAGGCACCTGGTTTAAAGGTTCCTTTTTGCTAACATGATATCATAAAGCACGTCAACAATGGATGTATCAATGTGGATGGTGAGACACTATGCACGTCTAAGACCAAGTCTATCAGTATGTTTCCAGAATTTCCAATATCTCCTCGTGTGCGCATCGGTATCTGACAAGACAACAGACATCGCAGATGAAGCTACTGGCGACAGTGTCGCCACCATCTACGCCCAGTTCGATGGAGACAACAAGACCGGCTACAAAGTTGTTCCTGGCTGCAAGCTGGAAGCTACCTGGCCCCGCGCCTACGGTGATGTCTACTTTGGAGCAGATAACTGTCTGTATGACTCGACCGGCATCAATATCAACGGTCAGTGTTGCACCAAGACGACCGAGGACTTGGTTGTCAACCCGTACTATGGATATTAGGTGTGAGTGTGTTGGTGTGGACAGTAGATGACACCAAAGGTGTCTTGTACTATAATGAGGGTATAAGTGTGTTCGGATTGTGGAGGGGAGAAGTTTGCGAAAAAATTCTCTCGCTGGGCTCGTTGAATCATCTGGATCACGGCCGCTTTGTTCTTTATTCTAGAAGAATGGATTGACTGTCGTTTAGCACCCCTTATTCTTGGCTCAGTTCATGTCCCGGAGGCGTTGTTGCTACAGGGTGCCAAACAGGGCTCAAGCCAGAATGTCGCTGATAAATACTAGCTTGTAATTTCGTACTTTTAACTCATATTTACGCAAATCGTACTAACATCGCCTTATTTACAATCTGAGATTATTTGGCACTAGTGGTGACCCACCAATGTGGTAGAACTATCTCACTAGGTAGAAAAAATATTAGCGTGGCTACTAAAAGTGCCCAGGTGTCTAGTGGAAGTCAAGCAAATCCATAGATAGACCTCAAAACGTTTTTCGTATCTCGTGGTCCAGTACCCCGGAACGGCCCGCGATCCGACGGCTCTCCTAATTGGTAGTTCTTAAGGGTTTAGCGGGGCTAGATTCTCTTTTGAACCAATCAAGGCCCTTGATCTACCCTCATCAGGGCGAAAACCACATTCATCGAAGTCGTATACTAGTCGAGGGACATCTTTCAGTGATATCGCAAGCTAATCGTACTATGACCTAGTAGGACTGCGTCTTCTGCCTCAATACACTTCAATTCCTTCGTTCTCTACCTTATAGGGCATGATTTCAGGCCTGGAAGACGGTCCATAAAGCGATACGCCCACGTCTTACTAATTGGCTTGTTCTTACCAGCGCGCAAGAGTACCCGATTTTTCTAGGCCCCTTTTTGCCCAGGGGCTAGTAGCCTAGAGGGTGCTAGCATATTCCAATCATGCATATACGACCTCGCTAGTGTATCAAAGGTCGGTCCTGTGCTTTCTCGAATAACCGCGCACACATCGGTGTAAGGTACGCGAGCATCGATAAATCTAACCTCATCAAGGATGGGAGATGTGCTGATAATAGTGGAGTTGGTAGTGGTACAACGAAATGCTCACTGTATCTTCCCAATTCGCAGGGATTATCCGATTAATTGGCACTCGACTGAGCTTTTTCGGTTTCTCCTAAAATTAGGGCTGGTTTAAGCTGTTGATAGCCGGTTTTTCGTGGTAAGTTGGCTGGTGTATCTCCATTGCAATATACCTACTTGGCTAAGATATATATATCAATGGTTTTTTTTTAACGTTATTTTTTACTGTGTGCCTACTTGATTGCTTTGATTCTCTTATATTATTGCTAAATGTAATATAAAAAGTTCTTTGCAAATTGTGTTTTATATATAAGATCTATGGCCAAACTGTGATATAGCCATCCATGATGCATCCATCCCATCCATTGACCTTTTTCGCCTAAATTCACACTTAATTCCAAGCTAGGAAAAAAATAATAAGAGCAAAAAGGAAATCTCAGGTTTGGTTTTTAGGAATAGCCGAACGCGGGGGTCGAACCCGCAGCCTTAAGATTAAGAGTCTTACGCTCTACCGATTGAGCTAGCCCGGCTGGGCTGTTGGAATCGTTCAGGGGAGGTGACTATTTGAGGCTGGTGATATTATATTGTTTCGGAAAGTTATACATAGAGTAACCCATAACTATCCATTTTAGGCAATTTTGCAGATTGACTGATAGGTTAAGGCAAATCCTCAGAATTGAGGTTTTAATCCAGAAACCGGAATTGACCGGCAATTGGCGAGCAGAGTTACACTTGCGGGGAACCTCTTGGAATGATTCGAGGATTTGCCGACGAGGTGGGTTTGTCGACCGGGAGAGGCAACGGAGATTATTGTCCCCCGATTTGCTCGGACATTTGTTCGGGTATATAAACCACGAGTGAATAAAGAGATGACCCGACATTTACTTTTCTAAACTACTTCCAACATGCAGTTACGAGGTATGACTACCTAAACTCAATCAACTGAGCATGTATACTCACTTATATAGACAAAAACAATGACCTGGCCGAGATCATCAATCGCCACCGACCAGATCTAAAGCCATTCGAAGATGTTTATCGCCACCTACACACCAATCCCGAACTATCCGGCCAAGAAGAACAAACAGCAAAGATAGCATCCGACCACCTCAAAGCCGCCGGTTTCGAAGTCCACACCAAAATCGGCGGCCATGGCGTAGCAGGAATTCTCCGAAACGGAACAGGCCCAATAATCCTCCTACGGGCGGATATGGACGCCTTACCTGTGGAAGAACAAACAGGCCTATCATACGCAAGCACCCGCCACGTCAAAGACGAGACCGGAGCCCACAAGCCCGTAATGCACGCCTGCGGACACGACTCCCACGTCGCAACGCTAATGGCCGCCGCGACGCTCCTACAATCCGCGCGCGATAACTGGTCTGGGACATTAATCTGTATCTTCCAGCCCGCCGAGGAACACCTCGACGGCGCACAGGCAATGCTGGATGACGGGTTATACGACAAGATCCCTAAGCCGGACCTTGTGCTCGCGCAGCATGTAATGCGCATGCGCGCGGGGACGGTCAATCTCCGCGCTGGACCGTTGCTTACGGCGGCTGATGCCTTTGAAGTGCGTGTGTTTGGGCGTGGAGGTCATGGGTCTGCGCCACATACGACTATCGATCCGATTGTCCTCGGGGCGGCGATTGTTATGCGATTGCAGACTATCGTCTCGCGAGAGGTCACGCCGGGCAAGTTGGCTGTCGTTACCTGTGGTAGTATTCATTCTGGACAGTCGGCGAATACCATCCCGGCGTATCTGGATTTGCAGTTGAATGTGCGGACTTATGATGAGGAGGTGCGGAAGCGTGTGTGTGCTTCTATTCATCGCATTATTGAAGGGGAGTGTATGGCTGCTGGGGTTGAGAAGAAGCCTGAAATTAAGCTTACTTATTCAACACCGTCGACGATTAATGATGGGAAGACTATTGATGCTCTTCGTGAGACTTTCCAACCGTACTTTGGTGATCGGCTTGTTGATATGGAGCCCCCGACTGCTAGTGAGGACTTTTCTTTGTTAGCGACTGCTGTGGGTGCGCCTTATGTTATGTGGATGTTTGGTGGGACTGATCCTGAGACTTGGGATGATGCTGTTGCTAAGGGAGCTGTTGATGAACTGCCCAGTAACCATTCGCCGTTCTATGCGCCGGTTATCCAGCCCACATTGTGTACGGGTGTGGATGCCATGGCACTTGGGGCTTTGACTTTCTTGAAGAAAAAGTGAGGATATTATTAGTTAACTTGCATGAATACATTCAAATATTCAAAGATAATTTCCCTGCTGAGAGATAAAAGTGGTCTTGGAAGGCGAAGGGGTAGTCCGGGTGAGGTCATCAATCGCGCTCCAAAAAAAGTGGCAACACCATTTCCTAACAGCATCACAACAAAAAAACATACCACCCAAAATGGCATCTGCCCAACCCACAGAAATGAAAGCCTGGCTCTACTCCAGCACAACCAACGGCCTAGAAAAGAACCTCAATTTCGACGCGTCGGCACGCGCGCCACCAGCCGTCCACGGCAACAATGTCCTAGTTCAAGTCCTCTCAGCCTCCCTGAACCCAGCCGACTTCAAAGTCCCGGAAATGGGCCTAGTAGCACGCAAAGTTGTGATCGGCACACCCGCTTCACCGGGAATGGACTTCTGCGGACGCGTGGTGGTCGCCGGCGACGCCGCGACCGAGTTTTCACCAGGCCAGCTTGTGTACGGATGTCTCAGCAAGCCCGGGCAATTCGGCTCATTGGGCGAGTATCTAGTGGCGTCCGCGACTCTACTTGCGCCCGTGCCGGAGGGCGTGGAGGTTGATCATGCGGCCGCTATCGGCATTGCGGGACAGACGGCGTACCAGTCACTGTCTGGATACGTTAATGCTGGCGATAAGGTGTTTATTAACGGTGGCTCTGGGGGATGTGGAATTTTCGCGATTCAAATTGCTAAGGAGATGGGGTGTCATGTTACGACAACTTGTTCGACGAAGAATGTGGAGTTTTGTCGTGGGCTCGGCGCTGATGAGGTTATTGATTACTCTGCTGAGGAGGATTTGGTTGCTACGCTGCGCGATCGTGGTGTTGTCTTTGATCATATTGTTGATCATATTGGATACCCTGCGCCGATGTATCGCGAGTCGCATCACTTCTTGGCGGCTGGGAAGGCGTTTGTGCAGGTTGGTGCCTCGGCCATGGGGACTTTTGTTGATAGGTTGATTTGGCCTTCTTTCTTGGGTGGCGGCAAGAGGAAGTATGTTATTTTCTTCTTCAAGAATACCCGTGAGGATCTTGTGAAGATCGGGGAATGGGTGCAGAAGGGGGCTGTCAAAATTCAGCTGGATACTGCCTACGAGTTTGCGGATACTGTTCAGGCATTTGAGAAGCTTCGTTCTGGTCGTGCCAGGGGAAAGATTATTGTGCATGTGGCTAAGCCATAAGCTGAGATCAAATACAAATATTCCTTAGTTGAAGTGGTCTTTTTAGGGTTTGAGCAAACTGTACCTCTCCGCGCCGAATCGGGAAATGATCACATCTGGGAAAGGCATAGTAGCAAGTTTCGACGTAAACTTGACGATGCCTCTGGCTTTGTGAGTAATACGAAGTGGTCTCCGGCACTGATCTTCGGTTGCCTTTTCCCTCTTCATCACTAATACTTCGCAATTATCAACACTTCAACGCCTTCATTTTCCCATTATGAAATTTCCACTCCGTTTTCTAGGAACATTTTCCGGGCTTCCTATAGAGCTTCGCCTAATAATATGGGAGTATCTCATCTCGTCCATCCACAGAAAATCATCCTTGCCCAAAGACAACCCCCTATCCATTCTCTGCGCCAGTCGATACCTCTGTAATGAGATTTCGTCCCATATATTCAACAAGTCCGTCCAGATTATCTCACTCACCCCATCATGTTACCGAGGAGAGTGGATGGTAATAAAATTGAAATCAAGAACCATAGATGTCAAGTGGACTCTCAGGACCACAGCGGACACCGAAAGGCATTTTCACAACTTCCCACATTCAAAAACGACTATGAAAGTGCATATCCACTCCCCAGATCCAACAGACCCAGGTCAACTAGTAATAATTTGGCAGAAGGTCAGCGAACTAGTTGATCTTGTCATCCCCATTGATCGGCCGGAGATAGAGCTGGTCCCAAAGGGGGAATGGCATCCAAGAGAGCCACCAGCTCACTGGCGAGCAAACAGAGGTCGATTTTATGAGTTGGGGGGTCTACAGGAGTCAACAAAGCCCCTATATAGATACCGTCCTGACAGAGACATTGTTATGGTACCCTTCCTTCGTCTGGAACTATGGGACGAGGATCCTGTAAGAAATGTGCCCGCCATGTCAGACGAACAGTTCGACAGTCTTCACCGGCGCTTGATGGGCTTATTCCACCCAACCGGCATCGATATCAGGTTAGGGGAGCTTTACACCATGACCCAAGAGACAGCCGCCAGCCGAATTGAAAACGCACTCAATGAAACCGACTTATTCTTAGACGCCAGCCTGGACGAGATGCCGGGCATAACGGCGGATTTCCTTCGTCTCTCTCGGTATAGACACTGGTTCCGAGATGGGCAAGACTGGGAATCACCATATGGGATTCAACTCCGAGACCAGTTGCATATTAGTCACTGGGTTATTGAGAAGACGGATCCTGGGTTTCAGAAATCGGATAGGAGATACATGATTCTTATTCTACTACACCATGCTATACATGCGTTCAAATCAAGTTTACGCGATGGACTTGGACTTTACCACCCAGTCATTTATATGAAATGGGACTCGGGAATGTGGTTCGATGTGTTCCCGACTGGCATCCCGCCGCTTAGCGATGTTTATGACTGGATTTCGAGGTTCTGGTCCGATAAGTTCCAGCTTAGAACCTTTCATGCCTATTTGTATTGGTTAGGGCTAGATAAAAATGGCGTCCGATCCAGATGCCCGACTATGGACCGTTTGAGCGTGTGGGGCCGTCGAAGGGTATATTAAAGGTATCAACAGGCGCATGATTTTTGGAATATTGGAATATGGTTTATGTTATGCGAAGGAAACTAGCTAATAAAACTAATAAGTCATGTTTTCACTACTTGCTTATGCCTATAGTTGAGACAGAATGTTAAAAGCCCAGCCTATTCTTACTGCAATAGTTGACAAGTGACGACAATTCGTATTAAATGATGAATATTTGAGAGATGTGCCGAAATAGCTGTGCTATAAATCCCAAATCCTCATTTAGAGGGCAGAATGCTTGGAGGGATCTTCCTTCAAAGGTGCCGAATAATCATCGTCGTCCATATCGAGCATTTCAATCCGGTGGCTTGCCATGTTCTCCTGAGTCTGTGCCTCGACCTTCTTCTGCAACCGTGCATCTTCCCCAAATCCATGCTCGCTGTTTAGGGTATCACGGGCAGCAGATGATTCCCGGTCTTTAACACCAGCCTCACGCTCATTCTCCAACCGCTCCTTCTCCAGTCGCTCGTCCTCGGAGGCGAGAGCAGCTTCTTCGCGTTCAATCTCACTGGGATCAAGATCCTGAAGCCCGATAAGGGTAAGGATTCTGCCGAGAAGAAACTGGTATCGCAGGTGACCGCTGATCATCTCGCTTACGTCCACGTTCTCAACGCCTGGAACACCTTCAACTGGCTGCAATCCGGCGACGCCGAGTTGGAGGCTGCTTGTTCGGTACAGGAAAGCCAGTACGGAGTCATTCTCCGAGAACACGTTCACAACACGTCCGCTTACGACACTGCGAATCTTTTGCCAGTCCTCCGTATCTGAAGGGGTGGGTGACCCCATCAAAATGACCGACTCAACCAGACCGTAAGCATTCCTCTTTTCCAGACTGTGGAGGCAGGAGAAAATCAGTCGAGATCCCAGAGAATACCCAATTAACGTCACGGGTCGTTCTCCCTGGGCTTTGTTGATCAAGGCATCGGCGAGGACCTCGCCCGCTTTGTCAGCGCGGGCTTTGGCCACGCTGAACGGGTTGTCGACGATGCCAGCAACTTTCATGAGACCTAGGGGAAGCATCACCGCGCTCATGATGGTGGAGAAGACAGTACGAGCCAAGACCTCACGTCCGGCAACCGACCATGCTGCGCTAGTCACAAGAGCTGAGATCGCGTTACCCAAGTTCATCAAAGGTTCCATCTCCCAGCGAAGACCAAACACTTCCGAGTCGGCACCAATCACCCGCCATGGGACCACGAAGTTCGACTCCTCTTTGACCCAGCCGGTGACACCAATGGTAACTCGTAAACGATGATCTTGCTCAGCAGACTCCTTCTCTTTCACATTGCGGCGGCGTTCTCCTCTGATCGGGATGAATGCAAAGTCGTCCACTTCACGGGCGTACTTTTCCATCATGCGACCAGTCATACGCCCGCCATAAGCGCCAAACAGGCCACCGACAACAACGCTACTCCCGGCCAAAGTACCCAAGAGCCCAGCAGCAGCCGTAGCGCCAAGGCCCAATCCACCCATGACAGTTCCCAGACCCGCCACTACCAATGGAGCTGCGAGCCCGCCAGTGAGGCCAATCAAAGCAGCTCCAGCCACTGATGCAAGACCAACCTTCCATTTCCTCATGTCATCCTTTTTCTTGGGTTGCGCTTTGGTATCTTGGTCTGCCGAGAGTGCCAAAGCTGTCTGCAGCAATCCGCGGGCGACACTGACTTCGTCTTGATTGAGTATGTTGATGTCTATGTTCAGACTGGACGTGACATTCAGCATCAAGACTCTTGAGTAAGCACTGTAGTGCTCTAGACTGAGCATTAAAAGAAGAAGCGAGTGAAGAATAAGCAGCCTTGTTGCTTTAGGAAGTTTAGCCAAGGGTGTTTCCACAGGGTGGTATATTTCTTGTAATTTGGCCAATCTATCTTTATCCTCATCCAATGGAAGATCATCAGACTTGGCAGCGTCCTGCGGGTCTTCTTGGCCTTCCTTTTCCCCCTGGTCGTCATCATTTTTATTAACGACCGCGCCAACCCGCAAAAGGACAGAATCCCTCCAATCCTCGAAAGCAGAGAGCGCAGTGACTTTAGCCTGAGGGCTCAACGGCTTGTTAGTAGAACCCTGTCGCGGACTTCTGCTGTTTCCTGGAACCGGCTTGCGTTGCGGTCTTGGGGGCAAGCGTGGGGTGTCTTCATCGCGGTCCGCCTCCGGAGATGGACGTGGGCTAGAGCGATTGGGAGAGTCATCCTTTGGATTTGTATGTTCATAAAGCTCCAAAATCCGAACCCGCATTGACTCAGCTACCTCAGCGACGAGGACGGTCAAGTCGGCGCGCTGCGACCGGTCCAAGATGGATGATAGATCTTGACCGCGATCGCTTTCCGAAGCATTGGATTGCTTGGATTCAAAGAATCCTCCATGCTTTTCTTTGAAATTTTTGAACATTGACGCCGAATAAAAGTGAAAAATGAGTTGACAACTTTTGAAGGAACAAACAGGCAGAAGTCGATGTTGTTGGAGAGGGGCGATGCTGTCATGGCCCCCGATAGTCACGGGTATCGGGGCCGCTTACTCCACCAATAGCCTGAGGCAGAAACATCTGACCATGTTGATATCGCTCTGCTTCGCTTCATGCGGAATATCTATGTCTCCTGCGTATTCCAATGTTGTGGAAAGTTGAGGGAAGAACTCAATTGCCGATTTCAACGACAAAATATTTCCCCTTTGTCTTTGTCGCGCACCCGAGCGCATTCCCATCCCAAGCCGTTCCATCCGGACGATCGTTCTTTTCACCTGGGACGCGCTGAATTTTTCCCCGTCGCCCGGACACCTTTTCCTTAGCCAGAGCCTCCCTGAGCCTTTCAATTCCAATTGTCTCCTCTTCCATAGCAGCAGGACTTTCGTCACGAATTCTAGCCAGCGGCGCGACGCCGGTAGTATCAACAAGTTGAATTTCCTTCACAAAATGGATTTGAGACTCGAGTGTATCAAGCATGGACTGCTCTTCTTCTTGGTTGGCAGGCTGGGGAAGAGCCGAGATGCGCAGAAGATGATGGAGTTGCTTCGGCGTGACTGATGGTGGTGGTTTTGAGGCTGGGTTCGGGAGCAGCGACCTGACAGACCAGTTCGGTGCGCCAAGTATGGTTTCGATATGTGCACTGTCCGATCTTTCGGAAGAGTAGAAGCGAGATAAGGTCGTGTTGAGTCGGGAAGGACATGGGCGCAGCGACTTGGATAGCCGAGCAGCAGTGCGAATAGAGGTCATTGTAGAGTCTGTATAGATGATAACCTTGAGGGCAAATGAAGGAATGTATCCGACTGAGATAGAAGCACAGTCTAATCCGAACAGTACAGTGTAAAAATAGCCAAAGTCGCCGAAGCCGCAAGACAACACTGGGGAGCTTAGGCGGAGACCCGAAAAATAAACGACACCGCCTCCACGGGCCCGCCGATCGATGCTCTCATCGATAACCCCATTTGGCCACAACACTCCAACTTCACTTCGAATATCTGCAGACTACTGCCTATCGCAGTAAAAACAGACACATCCACCCAAGATGACTCAAGATCCCCGTGTCCTGCTCCAAAAAGTACGCATACTTCCCCGCCTTGTTTGCATAGGCGATGACGATAGTCCGCATAGCTAACCAGACCTCGCTTGTTGTCATGAAATAGGCCGACAAAGCGCTGTCCGGTGCTAGTGGTGGCTTTGCTTGGTTTGGAGGACGATCAGAGAAGTATGAGAGCGCTGCAGATCTGTATACCCAGGCTGCAAATGCGTTCCGAGTACAGAAAATGAGTGAGCTACCCCGCGACCTAGCCAGTCCGTTGCATTGCCATAGTTAAGCCCGATGATTAATCTTTGTTCTCAAACAGACAAGGAGGCCGGTCAGGCTTTTGAGAAAGCTGCCTCCATCCAAACCACGAACCTCAACGAACCTGACGATGCTGCCAATAACCTCCAGGAAGCGTTCAAGGTCTACCGCAAGTCAGACCCTGAGGATGCTGCCCGCGTGCTTTCCAGTGCCATCCAGCACTATGTACTACGGGGAAATCTGCGCCGCGCGGCAACGCAGCAGCAATACCTGGCTGAACTGTATGAGGTTGAGCTTGGAGATATGAAGAAGGCGCTGGAGGCGTACGAGAAGGCTGCTGATTGGTTCGAGGGTGATAATGCTGAAGCGTATGTATCCCATGATCTCTCTAGTATCTGTAAATTTGAGGAACCAATTTTTGCTGACATATACTTCATATACAGCCTTGCAAACAAGCACTACCTCAAGGTGGCCGACCTGGCCGCCTTGGAAAGTGACTACTACAAGGCCATCACGAACTACGAACGCATCGGCCGCAGCTCTATTAACAACAACCTGATGAAGTGGTCTGTGAAGGATTATCTCCTGAAGGCAGGCATCTGCCACCTTGCCACAAAAGTACGTTGTTCCCTCTTAATATTGCCATAGGAAACAGAGTATTAATTACATTTTTCAGGATCTTGTTGAGACTAACCGTGCTTTGGAATCATACCGAGAACTTGATCCTTCATTTGCTTCTACAAGGGAGCACCAGCTACTCGTGGATCTGACCCAGGCTGTTGAGGGTGGTGACCCGGAGGGCTTTGGTGACAAGCTCCGACAGTTTGACCAGCTCAGCAAGCTGGACAAGTGGAAGACAACCCTCTTCCTGCGGATCAAGAATAACATTGAGGAAGCTGAGGAGGACTTCTCTTAAGTGGCGATTGATTTCTTCGGTGATTCCCCGCGCGTGATGTCTAGAGAATATTAACTCTCAGGTTTTTGGCTTCTTGTTTCGTTTGTTTATCTTGAGATTTTTCTGGTCTGGAAATGAAAACAGATCGATGCTATCATCCATTGGTTGTAGTGATTTATTTTGTCTGGCCTTCCTGGTGATAATCACCCCTCGCCTGGGAATATCAAATCCTTGAATCCTTGATCCTGGACATTCAGATACTACTCTTAAATACGGAATGCAAGTGCAGAAGATTCGTAATTCATCATTTTAAGATGCCTCAGGTCTATATGTACTTTTTGGGTGTATCATGCTCCCTTCAGAATCAGCAGATCTGCCCTCATCATGTAATCAGTTCAGTCAAATGGTATCATATCATCCCACCTCGCCAGTGCTATTGACATCAACAGCTTACGCAGCAATCGCATCCAAAGCCCTGGCCTTGCGAGGGAAGACGCGCTTGTACAAACTGACACCCACGGAGTCTTGCGGGTTGATCTTCGCATCGAAGGTAGCCTTGAAGTATCCGTGTGTACCCAGACTCTCCTTGAAGTATCCACTGCGACCACGACGAGTCCACAATTGGAGTGCCTTGAACCACTGGATATCTTCGGCGTTGAAGAACATGTAGCGGATGGTAACGACCCTCTTGTGGATCTTGTAGGGGTGACCAGTGAGAATGGCACGCTTGGCAACCACACGCTTCTGATCGGGTGCGACAACAGTACCGGTACCGATCAGCTCGAGTTGGTCTAGGGCAATAGGCTCCTCCTTGGCATCGGCGGTATCCATCTCCTCGTCATCATCCTCCTGCTCAGATTGCTTCTGTTTGAAGACGAGGATAGGAACTGAGCCCCAGGTCATGGGTCCAATCCAGGATGCGATAGCACTACGACCAGGGTGCAAGTATCGGTCGTATTTGTGAACGTTGTTCGGCGTGTTATCAGCCGAGGAGAAGATGGGATTGACGACCATGCGGCGGGGACCGCACTGGACGACGAGCTGCTCCTTAGCCTTGAGGGGCTTCTCCACGCTGGAGTTCAGGGTCATGCTGACATTGACCACAGTCTGCTTGTGCTCGTGGCGGAGCAGAGAGAAGAGCGCAAGGGGCTTGGGGCCGTTGCGCAGAATGGAAGGAACTGCGCGAAGGTGAATATCCACGCGGACACCGGGGTTGACACCGCCGATCAAAGCCTCTCGAATGATGCGGTTCTTGGAACCCCTGACATCAGCAAACTGCAGCAGTCGGCGCCAATCCTCGGGCTCGTAAGGGCGATCCTCGGATGTTTCCCAGTGGCTGAGCTTGAGGTTCTTCAATCCACGGAATCGGGCCAGACGTTCTCTGGCAAGCGCGTTGGGGTGCAGTTCAATTTCATCGGGGAACTCCAAGTCCTCCTCGGCCTCGGTCTTGCGGCTGGCACGGTAGTCGGCCAGTTCCTGGGCCTCGTCCTCAGGGGAGGGGTCGAGGAACATCTCCGATTGTGGGTATTCCGAAGGAGCGCCCTCGGTCATGGCCTCATGGTGGTCTGGGAACACGCCATCTTCGGGTGCTCCAGCAGTATCCAGCTGCATGGGCTCATCCTCATCATCCATGTCAGATCCGGAGTCTGAGACATCGTCGAGATACCAAGCAGACTGATAATTTGAGGTACCCTTGGGCAACTTCTTAGGTACTGGTGGAATGTGCGAGTCGTCATCCGAGAAGTAATGGTAGTCATCCAGCAGAACACCCTTCTTCTCTGTCTCGGCCACGGAAATCATGTCGTCATCCGCCATATCAATCTCTTCGGGGGCAATAGCAGCCATGTCATCCTGGTCCGCGGTGGGAGTATCCAAGATTTGTGTGGTCTCAGTCGCGTCGACGGCCATTGCATCATCCCGTTTGGGCTTTGTGGTTGCTAGGGGCGCAGCTGTGATCGAATCAATCTGGAAATCGCCCCATCCAGGGAGGTGAACAATGCGGTCTGCCTTCAGACCCTTTCCACGAACAACTCCGGTGATGACGACGTCGTCAACGACTTCCAGGTTGGACTCTGGCCACTTAACATCCTCGACAAACATCCAGCTGCGATCGTCACGCCAGTGGATGCCCTTAGGAGTAGCAGTGCAGATAGATCGGATAGCGTTAGAAGATTCCTGTCTCGAGTCGAGAGACATAACCTTCTCAATATTGGGGAAGAAGTGGTTAATGAAAGACTTCAGCGAAGTAGCCACCTGGGGGCGCTTCTTAGCGGGTTCAATCTTGTCGAGACCTTGAACGACAGTCAATACATTCGAGATACCCTGTCCTTGGATCGAGCGCAGCAGCATCTCGCCCTCCTCATCAACCTCAACTTCAGACGACATGACCAAGATGACAAAGTCGGCCATACGGCATACATCCAGAGCGCTCATCAAGTCATACTTGGCGGGAATATACTGCACGCTTTGACGGAATCGCTCAATGCGCACACGGGTAGGTCCATCGGGGGAGACATCAGTCAAAACATCGACACTTTCGTTGATAGAAGCAATAGCGGCGGCGGCGTCAACATCGGCGGACAAGGGCACAATTGCGACGTGACGGGGAGCACCACTCTGACCGGCGAAGATGCTGGTAGCTTGGGATCTTTCCTGGTGCTTCAATGCCTGTCTTTGGCGGGCGGTGTTACGGCGATCGAGTTTCGTCTTGAGCTGTTGGTGGGGTGTCTTACGACCGCCCCGCTCATCACCTTCGATTTTGCCTAAAGTGATATAAGCGTTAAATTTGCATTATTTATTATGCTTGGGTCAAATATCTTACCTTTGGCCTGATCCTTCAAGGCGCTCTTGGAGGCATGCTTGGTCTTGTAGGGCTTGTGCGAAACCTTAGTGGTGGAGCGGTGGTGGTGCACAGTCTGGGCAGGCGCCATATTGGCGTTAGACCCTTTGAATCGGAAAGGGAGGGAGTCCAGATTGAAGCGAGTCAGAGGTAACTCGACAAATATTTAGCCAGGGCAATTTATAACTGGCAAATACACAGAAAAAAACGAAAGTGCCTCTGTAGAAAAAAAAAGATGCAACGATAAGAAATCAAAATTCGCCAGTGGAGGATAAGCGAGCGGTGAGCGCAAATCTTGGCGAAATTTTGGGCAAAACACTTTTTTTCTTGAAGCTACACTTTTCGTCCGCCTTGTTATCTTCCTGAGTTCTTTCGCAAACGAACTCGAGAAATTGCCAGAAAATGGCCGACTCAGCCTCCAACATGGCTGTCGCCAAGGGCGATCACGAAGCGAAGATGAGACTCGCAGCAGCCGAGCAAACCTACGGACGAGGCAAAGGTGCCAATGCGAAGAGTGCACGGGACAAGAAGTTGCGCGCAAATATCAAGAGGCAGGAATTTAAGCATAACCAGGCTATTCTCCAAGCCAAGGATGCAGAGATTTTGCTCGAGCACTCGGAAGGTTTCCTTGAACCCGAAGGTGAACTCGAGAAGACATACAAAGTTCGCCAAGATGAGATTCGGGACAGCGTCGGAATCGAGACAGCAAAGAAGGGATTCGAATTGAAGCTTCCCGATATGGGTCCCTACCGCATGGACTACTCACGGAACGGACGTGACCTGCTGCTGGCGGGACGGAAGGGACATGTTGCGACGATGGACTGGCGCGAGGGCAAATTAGGCTGCGAGTTACAGTTGAACGAGACTGTGCGGGATGCCCGCTGGCTGCATAACAACCAGTTCTTCGCTGTGGCGCAGAAGAAGCACACTTATATCTACGACCACCAGGGAACTGAGATTCATTGTCTGAGCAAGCACCTGGAACCTCTTTTCTTGGAATTCCTGCCATATCATTTCCTCCTCGCAAGCGCTGTGAGTATCCTCGATCCTTCAATTCTTTAGATAACCCCCGCTAATCAGCCCTTCATACAGCAAATGAGCGGTCACCTCAAATACACAGATACCTCAACCGGCCAGACCGTCGCTGAGCTAGCTACACGGTTGGGTAAACCCACCGCCCTCGCACAGAATCCATGGAATGCCATCCTCCATGTCGGACACCAAAACGGTGCCGTAACCCTTTGGTCACCCAACTCTCAAACCCCTCTTGTAAAGGCACTCGTGCACCAGGGACCTGTCCGGTCACTGGCTATGGATCGCACAGGCCATTACATGGTCTCTACAGGCCAGGATCAAAAGATGAATGTGTGGGATATCCGCATGTACCGCGAGGTGCACTCATACTCATGCTACCAGCCCGGCGCATCCGTGGCGATCAGTGATCGCGGCCTGACCGCAGTCGGCTGGGGCACGCAAATGAGCGTATGGCGTGGACTTTTCGACGCTGCGCAAGCCGACCAAGGCAAAGTGCAGAGCCCATACATGGCGTGGGGCGGAGACGGACAGCGCATCGAGAATGTGCGCTGGTGCCCATACGAAGATATTCTTGGTGTAGGACATGACCAAGGATTTGCCAGCGTCCTCGTTCCCGGCGCCGGTGAACCTAACTTCGATTCGCTGGAAGCCAACCCTTACGAGAACGTCCGACAGCGCCAGGAGCAAGAGGTTCACTCGCTGCTCACCAAGTTGCAGCCGGATATGATCTCGCTCGACCCCAACATCATCGGAAAGCTCGATACTATCAACGACAAGAAGTATCAGGAGCAGCGCAACCCGGACCACAAGCCCGAGGATCACATGGAGAAGATCAAGAACCGCGGTCGTGGTCGCAACAGTGCTCTGCGCAAGTACCTCCGCAAGAAGGGTGGAAAGAACGTCATCGACGAGAAGCGTGTCAAGGCCGAGACGTTGCGCAAGGAGTACGCTGCTCGCACAAAGGACAAGCTCAAGCAAGAACGTCAAGAACTTGGACCGGCTCTGTCTCGTTTCGCCAAATGAGGTCACTGAGTTTGTTTCTTGCTTGTGTGACATCTTGTGGAGCAGTAGAGAAACAACTCCCTCTGCCCAAAACCAGATACCCAGCCCACACGCGGCTTCTGTGACATATTGGAGATTTGGCGACAGCTGCATTCCAGGCGTTCTCGGGGAATATGTTTGTATTCGGAGGAAAAAAGCAGTTAACGTGTGTACCATTTTTCAACTGAATATATTGAACTTCATAAATGCCCAACCATTCCAATTCCACTTCGTATTCCTTTTTCCAAATCTATCCAACATCTTAATCCAATCTAAATTTCTAAAACATCTACTCATCAACACTCCCAGACCCCCGAACAGCCCCATCCTTCCACCTCTTCAAACTAACATCATAAGCTCCGCTACCCTTCCAAGCACTAATAATCAAATTAACAATATGATCCATCCCCTTCCCGTGCTTAACAACAGCAAACACAGTCGGACCACCCTCCCTCATCTTCGCCGCATCCCTCTCCATAACACTAAGATCAGCACCAACAGCCTCAGCAAGGTCAATCTTGTTCACAACAAGCAGATCAGACCCCGTGATACCAGGCCCACCCTTACGAGGAACCTTATCACCACCCGCAACATCAATCACGTAGATGATGAAATCAGCCAGCTCACGCGAGTAGTTCGCGGCCAGGTTATCACCCCCAGACTCGATCAGCAGCAGGTCGGTCGAGAACTGCTTCTGCAGCTTCTGCAAAGCGAGCAGGTTCGCGCTGATGTCTTCACGCACGGCTGCGTGCGGGCATCCACCTGTTTCGATAGCGCGGATGCGAGACGGCGCGAGGGCTTTGTGACGGGTTAGGAATTCGGCATCTTCTCTGTTTTTGGACAGGGTGGTTAGTGTTGGGGTTGAAGATATGCGGTATAGCAGGTGGGTCTGAGTTCTGTTGTTTTGGGTGTGGATTTGGTAGGTGGGGTATCTTCTTACCTTGTGAAGATATCGTTAGTCACTGCGGCAATATTATACTCGTCTCGAAGGGCCCGAGCTAGCTGCAGCATCAAGGCTGTCTTGCCGGATCCAACAGGTCTATTCGGATCAATGTTAGTCACTTGCTGTGCATCTATGGTTGTTTGAGGGGATATTGGCATGTGGGTGATATCGGTTGATTGCAATGGAATGGGAAGCTCTATACATACCCACCGATACCAATAGTGAAGGCACGATCCTTCCAGTCTCGGCCTTCGATCAAAGGCATCTCGCGGTTGGCGTAGGAGCCTGGACCATCGAGGATATCGTGTGAATGGCCGTGGCCGTTGAAGGGGTCATCGTGGGAGTGGTCAATTCCGGCGTCGTGGGAGTGAGAGTGAGCCATTGTTTCCAAGATTGGTATCTAGGTAGATGTGAATAGAAAGATGTTTGGAGAAAAAGTCCAGATGAGGGGCAGTTCTATCCCTTGCAAGACCGGTGTGGGGAACTGATATGATAACGAATGCCGATATTATCAATTCGCCGAGTTCGCCGCTCGGCCTCGACTTCAGGAAGAAATTGTCTGGGGATTTATGGTTACAATGCCCAAAATGAACATAGTGATGTCTGAAAAGAGAAATCCCATGTAATGTCAACCAAAACCATTATGTAGCTATAGACCCTTCAACATACGTTCAAGTATACAAACTACGATGCATGATGATTGAAAAGCAGGTATTTATGGATTCGTCAAGAAGCGGCAGAAAGAGGATAAGCCCCGAGGGGGAAGAGATGTCAAGCCAAATGGAACATGGAACACCCCTATGCACGCAGACGTAGTCCCCAAAGAAACGTAGGAGCCGGACGCCATATCATTCGCCAAACACGGATATCAATAGTTGTGTCTGTTCAGAGAAAAAAATGAACAGACTGCCAAGGAAACAGCGAGCAATGGGCAAAAGCCTAAACAAAGACCAATCCAAAAGTCGTTAAAATCCCAGACATGGATGGCAAAAGGATCAAAATGAAAACCGAACGGGAAAGAGATAGAAAACATGCAGTGGGCAGGCAATGATCCCGAGCCAACCAAGGAAACGCTGAAAGGAAGATAGAGTACATTAGGTCGGAGTTGAGCAGGATCGATGAGGCCTGATGCCACTCCCAAGTTAAGGAAGATGGGGGCCTCAAGCACCGATTAAATCCCGTCGATTGTAAATTGAGTCGTCATGTGCCAAAAAAACAAAGCAAGATAGATCTTTCAATGGGATGAAAGACCTAGATGAGGAGTAAACAAACAAGGGGGGCGCGACATGCCTCGCCCAGGTATCCAGTTGTACGCCAGTCCTAGACCGCTTGAAACGGCGAGGAAAATGAAAAAAGGGAAGCGAATCAAAACTCCCATGATTAGGCGGCGGCGCCCTTTTGTCGCTTCGGCACCCGAGGGCTAGCCTTTACTTTCGCTGAGCCCTGTTGTGGAGCGCCGTTAGCTTCGACTCCACCACCGTCCTCAGACTCCATTTTGACGGTGCTTGCCCGGCGACGTTTGCCACCTACATTTGGACTGTTGTTCACGCCAGCTGGGGACGGCTGCATTGGTGGTTGCATTCCGGGAGGACCGACAAGGTTGCTTTGAGCTGGGCTCGCATGTGCTGAACCAGACAGATGAGGCGAGCCTTGCTGCCCGGGAAGACCAAGATGGGCCATGGCCGGCGAGGCGAACTGGGATGGAGCGCCCATGCTATGTCCCCGAACGTTTTGCATGGGTTGCATGCCTGGGTTCATACCCGGATTCATACCCGGATTCATGCCTGGGTGCATGCCTGGATTCATGCCGGGACTCATGCCCGGGTGCATGTTTGGATTCATGCCAGGGTTCATGCCGGGGTTCATGCCGGGGTTCATGCTTGGGCTCATGCCTGGATTCATACCTGGGCTCATACCCGGACTCATGCCTGGATTCATGCCTGGATTCATGCCCGGGTTCATGTTTGGATTCATGTTTGGATTCATGCCTGGGTTCATGCCCGGGTTCATGTTTGGGTTCATGTTTGGGTTCATGCCTGGATGCATGTTTGGGTTCATACCCTGGTTCATGCCCGGGTTCATGTTTGGATTCATGCCCTGATTCATGGGTATGGGAGTTGACACAAAGCCTGGATTGGGATTTTGGGCCTGGAGGGTGTTGACGAGATTCCGCAAAGCGTCAGGAGGTGAGAGCTGCGGATTTGCCTGCGAAAATTGGAACAGCATTTGCATGGCAGAAATTGTTTCAGCCACTTCCATGAATCCCATGACTGGAGTAGGCACGCCATTGGCAGTCACGTTGGAGTCTGGAACTAATGATGGTGCTTGCTTAGGCTGGGCACGTTTTGAGTTCTTTGCGACCTTCGGACTTTGCTTTAGGGAATCCGCCTCCATGGCCAACAACAAAGACCGCGGAATGTACTCGTTGTGGCTGACGACATTGACATCGAGCATCTCAAGCTTGTTGTGCATATCGAAATGCGCGCGAAGGGTGCCATTAGTGAAAAGCTAAAAGGATAGACATTAGCAAGCGGAAAAGAAAAGGATCATGCGACGGGAGACGTACCTGGCACTCATTCTTGAACCAGTAAATGAATGAGCATTTTGGGGCTTCCACGTAATGCCCTCCATTGTGAGATTCCCGCTCGCGGGCACCTTCCACCACCATCTGAATTTGACTAATCCCACTGGTGAATTGGGTCAAATAATAACGGGCGAGTGCAGGAGTCGCAATTTCGAACTGTTTAGATCCAATCGAGTTGTTCCAAACACCCTGCCGCAACACACCCACAGGGGAGTAGAAACGATCGACGAACGATTGCCAATATTGAAGATCCTGTGTTTCATTGCGGGGTTGGAAGTTGCCCAGATGCTCGGCATAGGCATGAATAGTCAAAATTGCGTTATTCTTCCTTTGCTGTTGTTGCTGCTGCTGCATGATAAGGGCATTCTGGTGCTGTTGTGCTTTCAACTGAGCCTCCTGGACCGTCATCTGCTGATTCTGAGGACCTGGCTGCTGGCCCTGGGCACTATGGGGAGGTTGCGGCTGCGGACCAACCTGTCCCTGTTGACCCGGCTGTTGAGACTGGGGCAGTTGCTGCGATGGGGGATTAGGAGTTGCCTGGCCTTGAGGTGGTCCCTGCGATTGCGGGGGTTGAGTGGATGGCGGCTGAGAGGCCTGAGTGGGTTGTGGTGTGCCGCCTCCTGGTCCGCCATGCTGCGACTGTGGAGTGGCACTCTGTTCATGCATATTCGGGGGTTGTGCCGATCCACGCTGCGGGGTATGCTGGCCTGATTGTCCATTATTTGCCTGCTGTTGAGCATGTTGGGCCTGCTGAGCCTGCTGTGCTTGCTGCTGAGCCTGCTGGATAGCGAAAAATTGCTGCTGCTGTTGGAGACTTGGCGGCTGACCATGTGGCATCTGTTGCTGAAGCTGCATCATATTGACGGGTCGCATTCCAGGGTTCGCTTGCATTGCAGCCATTTGAGCAGCATTGAGTCCTTGTGTGCCATTAGGCATTGATACGGGGAGACCATGCTGCTGCTGCTGCTGTTGCTGTTGTTGTTGCTGTTGTTGTTGATGCTGCTGCTGCTGCTGTTGCTGCTGTTGTTGATGCTGCTGCTGCTGCTGTTGCTGCTGTTGTTGTTGCTGCTGCTGGTGTTGGAGCATCATTCGTTGCCGCATTAATTGTTGCTGTTGCTGTTGTTGATGCTGGTGTAATAGGTGGGGATTGTTCGCAACTATAGATTGATCAGGACGTAAGTATGCGATCGAGCAAGATGACAGGAAGAGATGCGGATATAGCGGCGGAAAGAAGTCACCGCAAAGTGCGCCAATCGCGTGTTCCATAACATAAATCGCACACCATCGCGTGAAGTAACAAGGAGGTTAAATACTAACAATTTTGTTGGAATTGGGGATTCTGAAGCATATGCGCCTGCGCGGGATTCAGATGGGAGAGGGCATGAGCATTTGGGCCAGGACCACCAGGGCCAGCTGTCCCAGCGCCCGGTGGCATACCACCCATCATCGGGCCCGCTTGGCTGACTTGAGGTCCTCCCGGCGCAGACACACCGGGATGCATTTGCTGTACCATTCCAGCTCCCGGGTGTCCATTTGGATGTTGCGCAGCCATTGGGTGGCCGGGGGGAACCCATGTTGCGGCATGCCTTGGTGGGCAGGAAACGGCTGCGTCATCATCATTGCTGAGCGACGAAGTCACCACAAATGGGGGACTTCAGAATAATCGCTCGCGATGGCGAAAGGGTGGTGTGCGAAACGTGGCGTGGAGCGCGACTGGAGTAGGAAGACAACAGGCCGCTTTTAGCGTTCGGGGATGGGCCAAGAAGTAGCGAGCGACTTGGACCGGTATTCAGCAGACGCGAGGTGCTGAAGTATCGATCGGGGGCCTCCTGGCCAAGTCACTCACCCGCGCAATGAATCTTTTTTTTCCCTTCTGAGAGAACTGAGCGGTCAGTGGGGAGTGATAAGAGGAGAAGATGTCGGGGGGGGGAGGCTAAAAGCGATGGGGCTAGGGGAGAGGTGGAGGGGCTGGGTTCTCAGACAGAATATCTCAAAGAGGTACAACTCACAAAATAGTTTCCTAAAAGATCTCTGATATTAGGGACTAAAGGAGTTGCTAACACCCAAGTCAGGAATTAAGGATGATCGCCCGGTGGGAGAGAGAGAACTGGGGACGGAGGATCCGGGTCCGTAGGGTGGAGGATCTAACCGAGACGACAACGCGATTCAGAGAGAAACAGAGTAGGGGGAAAAGAGATTACAGTGAAATAGGGAAATTGTATAGATCTTAAAGTATAAGCTCCATTCAATCCTTTTTTTCCCTTTTGAGGCTTTTTTTCTTCACTCTCACTCCTGTTCTGATCCCAATAACACGCTATTCCCAATTGGGTGGTCACGTGGTTATTCTGTGCCTTTTTCTTCACAACTTTTTTTTTCCTTTTCTTCTTCTTCATCTTTCTTCTTTGTCTTTCATTCTTCCTTCCAATGGTACAAAACCTGTGAAGACTCCCAAAAAAAGGAGTCCTTCTCATTTCCTATCTATTGCAGATTGCCATATTGGGGCCTGTCACTTCTGTGAAGAGTCTTCATTGAGATTTTTTTATGTTTGGCTTTGTGGTTCTATGTTCCTCAGATGTTACTGAGCTCTCTTGATGCAGATTGCACCTGACTTCTGAGGATAGCATGACCCAATGCCAATCGTACGGGTATCTTACGATGCTTCAAAATCTCGCCACTAACCTGATAGGTCAGGTGCCCGCACCTTGTGCTTAACGTGAGTTTATATACCCTTTCTCATTCTTCCCCCTGCATTTGCAATTCCTATCCGTTCAAGGATGACAAAACCTTTACTTCTTTACCCTCCAAATCGACAATGCGGAGATAATACGGACCTTCCTTCCCGGTCGGTCTGCTACTTGCCAGTACATATTGTCTGAGAACTCTTATATTGCAATGCATCTTTACCATGTTTTGCTTGGAACAATTCACTAACATTGTTCTCAGTTATACAGAAATACACCGACACAAACCATGATGCATAAAAGGATATCGCCTGTTGTACTGGCGAATTGATCAAGTGACGAAAAATTTCCGGATGTAAACTCACAGACCTGTTCTGAATGCGCAAAACCATGTAGAGATTTCCGTTGCCTTCCTTCTGATGATCAATTCGCCATTACACCTATGTGTTGTCTGGATATAGTTGTGGAATTCTTGAATAAAACCTTTTTTTTTGACTCAAATCTCTTGTCCCTTTCTCTTGTACCTGATAGTCACTTCCTATGTAAAATATGCTCCATCAGCCTCTATTGCTATACTAGCTAAGCCACCTAATAATTCGCGGAGGTACCTTATAAAGTTAACTATAATGGATTGTAAACGCTACCAACCCTAGCGAAGTTCTCCAACATCTTACTCCATACTCGCCAATGTGCGTACCGCATAGATGTCTTTCATCAAGCCCTAGAAAATCTAACGATGAAATTATATGAAGTACTCATTGCGTGCAGACTACATGTAAAAGCAAGTTAGCAGGTTCTATTTGACAAACTCAACCACGGTCTTGGTCTGCAAACCTTTCCTTGTCAATATCATTCTGAAAAGAACCAGCAGGGTGAGAAGAATATTATCATGTAGATGTCTACACAGCCTCTCAATTCCAGGAAGGTGTATCTCAATCACTATAGTATGGCTTGATCTCCCGGCGAGTGAGTATTCTACTTAAGGACATTGTATTCCTCAAGGTTCTCTTTGTGCTTGCTCTCGGGAACGATGCCATTGACAGGCTCGCCTCTCCGTCGATATTCGTTGCAATCCTTGTTTTCGAGGTCCTATTCATACTCCTGTGTCTCTTTTAGAGGAAGAGCAAATAGTTTTTTTGGTTATTGTGAGGTGCTAATGGTTGTTCTCCTGCCAGAGGCCGAATCTTAACATAGAAGCATCCCGCACTTTGCACTGCGTTTAACAGCTGGTTGGACAATGATTGCTTCTTATCTAGCTTCAAGAACCCGAAAAGGTTCATAATGACGAGGTCGTCAATTTGATCCCATTCTTGAGTACGGAGAAACTTCAGTACATATTATTTCTTCCCTACATGCTTAGTAATTTACACCTATAAATCAATATATATGTTGATACGATATCCATGGATAGCTTACAAGAATTATCAGCTTTGTCGTGTCTTTTTTGTCGTGTCTTTTTTGATAGTCTTTGTGTATGTCTTTGCAGCCATGCTCCCTAGATGTCTTTCTATATATATAGTTTCTCCCCTTTATTGGTGTTGTAGCTAGAAGGAGGAGAAGGAGGAGAATTTCCCGCAAAATATACAATACGATTGTTGGACAAATTTGTGGTTTCTATCTGACATGATCGCAGTAGGAAAGCCCCAAGTCGGGCATCCACCAGAAGCATAGGACTGACTTCACCCAGGAGGCACCCTGCCACGTTATTTTTCCCGGCACGAAACTCACCTGTTTTGAGAAATTGTCTGTCATGGTCAGGATCGCGCCATGACCGTTGTGGGTAAGGAAACGATGAAATTCATCGTGATTGTGTGGCATGGAATAGGAGGAGAGAGAATAAGTTGTGATAATCCATACGGTTCTCGAGGCAAGTTGGTCATTTCCCAATATATTGGTTCGGAAGCTTTGTGCCATTATAACAACATGACCCCCCACATTACTCGCAAGACAGTGTCCGTCTCGAGTGTCATAGGTACCAGAACAGAGCCCCAATACTCCGAGTCTCGTCGAATAAACGAAGGGACCGGGTAAGTCTACTGTGAGGAAGCTTTATGAGATCTTCGTCTTATCGCGAATTAAGAGATTTCGTCCACGGGCCTTGCCTTCCACTGGTTGCCTGCTCTCGGAAATTTGGAGAGAAAGACCTCTGACAAGGTCGGTCATGACCGCATCAAGGCCATACAAACATCAAGGCAGGTCATCAGAGAAGGCACATCACAGCATCCCAGCAGGGCTATGAGATGTATATCTGGTGCTAGTATCTCTGAACCGGACTCCACTTATCAGGAAGAAAAGCACGAGGACAAGGATCTTCATCATAGTGAGGTGGTATAATGTTTCGTAGTACTGGACCAGGTCATAGCAGCAATGTCCCAGGTGAAGTCCGTATTTGAATTAGCGCAAAATATCATTAGAATAGCACCCCGGGCCTGTTTACCATCTCACACCAGTGCACCATCCCACCTGGGCAGGCACTTCCGCTTCCCAAGTTTACTTCAACGTCTCTTCTTCAGAACATTTTTGATCTCACCAACTCTCTTGTGACCAGGTCTTCTATTGATGCCACCCTCTACGCAGGTTGCTCGGGATCCTTAAGGAAAGCAGGGAGAACCACTCACGCTGATTCCACATATTCAACCACCAGATTTGAAATTCGCCAACTGTCTTCCTGGCCTTCTATCAAATTCGACAAAACGGCGGCTCGATGCAACAATGAAAAAACAAACCGAAACAACGGAGCAGCAGCTCCAGACAAAAAACCCGACATGGTTACACCGGCTACCGGTTGAGCTCTTGTTGTCAATATCCAACTTTCTCTTTCCTGAAGATATGTTTTGTCTCGCGTTGTGTAGCTCCTACCTTTTTATGGCTCCTCATTATCAAAGAAGCAACACCAAATTGCCCGAAGGGAGCGGCAAGCTGCGGTTCATTCAGAGACTGGAGCGTGATCTACTGAGTCATTTCGTTTGCTATTGTTGAATCCTTCTCTACAAATACGACGAGTCGGAATGCTACAAGCTATCACATCCGCGGCTCAATTCACAGCACTCACTTTCTTGTGTGCGAGACGTGAAGTGGATACATAACACACTGTATGTGAGAATACATGGGTCTTGGTTGCATAGTTACTACAAACTCTACTTTCTACATGTGCAGCTTACAATGCGGTGTTTCCTCACCGGCCCGAGGTCCGGTATGACTTGTGACGCAATAGCATGCACCCAGGTGAGGGAAGAGAGCGACGGCAACACGCTGTTTTCGTCAGAGGCACGTATATGCTCAGTGGGTGGGACAGACTCAGGCCCGTCATTACTGACACACCCAGCAACATCCTCTTCTGGAGTACTGAGCCTTTGTCTACGTGTTCAAGACATGTTGCTGATAGAACGTGACAATATGCATCTCGTTGGCCCTTCGAGCATATTGTCCATTGCTCACAGTTTTCTATGGATTTGCTAACATATATCATACTACGAGTCGCCCTACTTAATGATCGACTTGCTCAATCCTCATTTGGCGAATCAGTCAAAAACAACATCCACCACTTCTTCGAACTGTTGCAGTTTATGCAGCACTGAGTATCATATTGAGCTCATCGAGGTTAATTCACATGATCTAATTCTAGTCGCTACCAGATGGATCGACCTGGGTACGGGCCTAAGCCCATATGCTCCCCAATGGAAGAGGTTGAAGCCAGCCCCCGGAAAGCCTGAGCTCCCGTTGGATGGGAAGAAATCGGCAGCCCTCGGATGGCATTCGAAAAAGCTATTTCGGGTCACTGGTCAGAAGAAGCCTTACCTCTCTCCAATATCTCGTTCCTCAGGAACTCAGAATATCGAAATTCGATGGAACAGTTCGACTTGGATCCCCAACTCTGGATATTGCCCACACCTCGAAATGCGTCGGTTGATCCATAAACCGAGAAGAAAGATTGATCATATCGTGACGCTTTCAAGCTCTGCTTTTCTGTGCAGAAATCGCCGTAATGATCTCATCTCGTTGGCACCAATCATCGATGCGAAAATACCACGGCCATCCTTGTTGTTTTGTGATTCACTCAATCATGCCCACGGTCGTCAGAAATGTACTTATTAGGTAGCTACTTGTGAATGATAGAGAGATATTTCAAAGTATTCCGATCAACAACATTGCCACTCAATGGTTCATCGAGACTAAGTAAATCTGGACTATCTCCTACGAGGTTTAGCTACATGTTTTATGGACAGAGGTGCAAATATGCTATTCTTGCTTTTAGCCCCTGGTATGACATCTAATTGAGACATGTATGTACTCATAGGCAGGTGAAAAGGTTCAAAATTAATGTGGCAAGTGCAATACAAGTTGGCTCTAATCCAGGCAGAGGAGTGCGCCTCTGGAACGTATGTTTGTGGCACTGGATAGGACACACACAGGGCACTTTAACCGAGGATATGGTGGTATCCTCGGATAACGCCAGCAGACTTCAGAGAATGTTGAGGTATATATGAAATGGAGGAGTTTACCCTGAGGTAGAAGAGGTGGAATAGGTCGAAGTTGGAAGGGGACCTTCCCAATTAGGTTGTATGTCGCTGATTTGAAATTGAGCTAGATCATCTCATAGTTTCCGCATAGCTGACCTTAATCGTCCATTGTCAAGAAACTGAAGATTAACCGAAAGTACCTTTTGTATGGGCTTCCCATACAAAATATACTTTCCATTAGTCGCGGTGGAGACGGGAGTGGAGAGGATCCTCTCTGAAGAATATGGATAGAGAGCAAACCCGACTGTAAACTGTACGCCGCGGAATGGAGATGTACATGTAAGTTGTGGAAGACTGCAGTCTAGCTCAAAGTAATTTGTCTATAAGGCACACGTAAAAAATATACCTAATAGTCTCAAGAACCTCAGGCTGCGGCGGCGAATGCAAGAAAATATAGATTCACGTGACCTAACATTTCTCCTTCGTGAGGCCCGATAGGGACACTGCGCCACTCGCGACTTGATACATATATCTACTACTCTCGGTGATATCACCTAAAGCTCCGGTGACACTGTCCCGGATGTATTCGTCAATGCAACAAGTCCGGCTGTCGGTCGCACGTCCTTGTCGATTTGTTGCTCGCCGCCGCTATTCCGCACCGTTGTCCGCGCGACGATTCCATCTGTCACGAACATGGCTCGCATCACCGTCCCAAGACCCTCACGATGCCGCGTCTACAGCGCCAGGGAATGCTGTGGAAGATCCTTCCCTCAAAACTGAGAATATCTCCGACAATGGCACGCCGGCGACATCTCCCTCCGCCGAGTCGGCCAAGTCGATCACCAAAACCTACGGGTCTGCTGTACGTAGAGCGATGCGAAACCGAAAGTCCGCGCAGCAGACTTCCACATCAACGACGACCGTTCCTGCGTGGTTCTACGAGCACAATAAGGTGTCTCACAGCTCCGGGGACCGCCCTATACAATCACTACAACAGGTTACGATAACTAAGTCGGTGTCACAAAAGGAGCCCGAGGAGGTTCAAAGTGAAATTCAGGCTTCGGGGGGAGATTCCGACCCATCTGCATCCAGTGAACCACCGGCAGCATCAGAGAATCGGTATGCGGTGGCCGAGGAATCATGGGAAGAGCTGCGGGCCTCCGTCAAAGCAGGCTTGCGGTTACCACCTGCGAAATTTGCCAAAGAGCCTTCGGTGAAGAAGTCGCATCTGGCGCTACACTACCCGGGTACTGATGGCATACCATTTTTAGACGCGGTGGTGAAGAAGCTTGTCCATGAGTTGGGCACTGACCTGGTGACCCTTAATGCCCAGGACATTGCACAATTGTTCAGCGAGCAAGATCTCGCAGATGTCGGGGTAACTTCGCCCATTCGATCTCTCGGTTATGATGTATATCGACAATCCGTCCCAACTTCATGGTCGGAACTTGAAGACCCCGAAGGAGAGGGCGAGGATGACGTGGCGGAAATTGGAGGTCCCCGTGGTATGCGCGGCGATATCGGCACACCTCGTTTCATCACAATCGAGAGCAGCAAAGAGGCGGGTGATATCCCGCTTCCCAACTGGCTTGGGCTGAAAACCCTCCTGGGGGGATCTATCAATGGTCAAACGGATCCGGATCCCGGGGCCGGCGCCTCACGAAGTGGCCAGCGCGCTGAAAATCGGTGGATTCAACTAGTCAACGAGCTCCTTGGCGCACCAAGTCAACCAGCACCAGCATTGGCAGTCCCCAATGGAACAACAGAAATTGCCGAAACGAAGGCTTTGCCATCTCGAGACATCATTATGCATATCCAGGACTACCGTGACATTCAAAACAGCCGAGAGGGGTCCAAATTCATTTCACTCTTGCACAAAGTTATCCAAGACCGGAGAGGGGCAGGGTCCAAGATTCTGTTGATCGGAACTACCTCGCAGGAAATCCACCACTCGCCCTCACAAGATGGTGCTGGTCTGCTGCAAAATGTCCTCGATGATCAGTTCTCGAAGACCTTGTTCATTACCCCTGCCATGAGCTCGAAAGACGCCGAAAAGGTCTTCGCAGAAGACCGAAAGAAGCGCACGATGGACATTAATATTCGCCACCTGCAGAGCATGCTTCGCTTCCGATTACATGAACAGGCTCTGCCTGTAAAAGACAACATTCTGAGCGACCGCGCTTGGCCGCTGGAACCTTCAACTATCAAAGAATCAGGAATCCAAGATCGGTACTGGTCGTACAATCAAGTGCATTGGATTTCTACCCTTGCACTTGGCTGCGCTGAAGCCAATGAGCCCCTTGGGGTTGAGCACATCCGACGTGGAATCGAGCTCATGGATAAAAGCGACCGAGTCACTAACGAATGGCTGAAAGAGAAGTCGCCTAAGCAGAAAGATTCGGAAGTGGGACAGACCAGAGAGCAGCTGATCAGCTCTTTGCGCAAAACGTGTAACACGCACGAGAAGAAGCTGCTTAACGGCGTAGTTGACGCAAAAAGCATCCGAACCACATTCAACGATGTGCATGTGCCTCCCGAGACCATCGAAGCTCTGAAGACCCTGACTTCCCTCTCACTCATCCGCCCCGAGGCATTCACATACGGTGTCCTCGCCACCGACAAGATTCCCGGCCTTCTCTTATACGGACCTCCAGGTACCGGTAAAACGCTCCTCGCCAAGGCCGTAGCCCGCGAGAGCGGAGCAACAGTCCTTGAAGTCAGCGGTTCTGAAGTGTACGACATGTACGTCGGCGAGGGCGAGAAGAACGTGAAAGCGATTTTCACCCTTGCCAAGAAGCTCAGTCCGTGTGTGGTCTTCATCGACGAGGCAGATGCCATCTTCTGCTCACGCACCGGAGCCAGCAGCCGCACCTCCCACCGCGAACTGATCAACCAGTTCCTGCGCGAGTGGGACGGCATGAACGACCTCTCAGCATTCATCATGGTCGCCACAAACCGACCCTTCGATCTGGATGACGCTGTCCTCCGCCGTCTTCCCCGCCGTCTACTAGTCGATCTGCCAACCGAGGAAGACCGCGAAGCAGTCTTGAAAATCCACCTGAAAGAGGAACAACTCGAACCCTCCGTCGACCTTGCTGAACTCGCCAGACGCACACCTCTGTATTCTGGTTCTGACTTGAAGAATCTGTCGGTGGCGGCTGCACTAGCCTGCGTTCGCGAGGAGAATGACGCGGCGGCTAAGCACACCGGTGACGAGCCATATAGCTACCCGGAGCGCCGCATTCTGACTCGTACGCATTTCGAGCGCGGAATGGAAGAAATAAGCGCGTCGATTAGTGAGGATATGTCCTCGCTGTCGGCGATTCGGAAGTTCGACGAGCAATATGGTGATCGGAAGGGTCGTCGCCAGAAGAGTCCTGGGTGGGGATTCATTCCCGGTGCTAGTGGTGAAGCTTCGGCTGATTCGGCGCGCGTTCGGACCTGATTTTCCTTTTGGAGATTTCTCGCCGGCTTGTATACTGGGTTATTTTATGTGGATTCGGGAAACTGGGGATTTCCTATGTACTTTTAGCGATATGATAGACCTGTACCATTACTCAAAATGTATATACTGCCATCACTTTCTTGGGCAATAACAATTTTCATTATTTCATATTCAGATGTTTTAGTTTGATTTTGCAGTGGGCTTTGCTCATCCCTACCTACTCCTTAACCACGTATCGTTCACTATTTGACAGCGGGATTATGATCAAAGTTACGGGAAATAACAAGTTGACTTGGCCGGGGCCCCGGTATTTCGTGCTAGACATGATCTTTACGAGCGTGTTTGTTTAGTATCATCGGCCGGGTGCTTACACTGTGTACTTGGTCAAGCAGAAATGATTCAGCTCTTTAGATTCTTGAAAATTCCGTAAACACCTTCAAAATATTCATTCAAAAGATCATAAGCTGATAGCTCTAACACAAGTCAAAGTGCCGCAAATAATTCTATAGACAAGCCAAAGAACTCGTTGACTTTGTCCTTGAACATGATGCAGTCCTGACAAGGAGGCGAACTGATCAATATGACCGCCTCGGTCAAAGAAACTGGCGGTGGTGTATTAGCCATATCGATCAGATCAGCATGTCGGCGTAGTTGCTGATCTAGAACCTCTAGTTGGCTTTCGAGCTCCAAGAACGGTCTGCCTTGCGAGCTAGCAATTAGCCGGTTTAGGGTTGTTTCAACAGACTTGAGCTTCAACTCCAGTGCTCTGATTTATCATGTTTTCCGACAAGCTTTTCGTCCCCATCGAACAGCTCATATCCTAGATCCTCCTTTCTCTTTCTGAGAGAGGTCACCTGGCGTCCTGCTTCGGTGCCTGAAAATAGTTCCTTAAGCTCGTCTTATAGTACAAGCGAGTTCTGCATCGGCGAGTGTTTGAAAGATTAGGAATTTGGTGATAACGTGGGAGGCCTCCCAAAAACAATCATTGACTTCCGGTTCTCTCCACCGAGTAGGCGTAGGATTTCCTGACGGTCAATGTCCCTTTCAAATGTGTTCTCGATATAAGCCAGCTGTCGATTAGATGGCAACAGGAATTTGCCTCCGGCACGACTGTATCTCTCTCGCTGGTTTTTGTAATGGCCACGAGCAAAATCAATGGCCAGTCGGTTTTCGCAATCTCGCATACTTTTGTCTGCTCTGTGTTCGAGGAGAACCTTGACATTGTCGACCCGACCAAAGAGCGCGGCCTCCATCAGGGCAGTCCTTCCACTTATGCTAACGGCATTTACCGCAGCCCCGTGCTTAATGAGAAGCGATACCATCGCCAAGCTCTGCTCAGCTGCTGCCATGATAAGGGTTGTTCGATCATTGTAATATCCTCGGACAAACAGCTGGGCTTCGCTAGAATTCTCCAGGTATTTCCGTACCGCTTTGACATTCCCGGTGACACAGTCGCTGATTGGCATGAGAATTCTTTTCTGTTCAAAGGGCTCAATGTCGCACCCTACATTGATGGTGACGACCTCCTTTGAGTCTTCAAGGATACTCGCATGTGTTTCTTCTCTTTGTGCTGCGATTGTAGCCTTTTGAGCTAACTCGGTGGCCAGACGATCAATGTCATCGTCATCCTCGGTATCGCTATCATGTGAGACACAAATATTCGTATATCGTCCTCGTCTCTTGCCAATTTCATATGCAACCTCACCTTGAGCATTCATAGGGAAGCAGCAAAGATAACTTTCTAGCTTCTCGCAATGTGAATACCTCGACTTATGTGCCTCCCAAAAGTCGAGTGACTCCAACTTGCCTGACTCCAAATTTATGGAATGACGATGAACTCCATGGCAGAATGGACATTGAATGTAGTAGTTTTTCGCAGTTCACCAGATAACGTCGGATTCAGGAGAGGTTTCCATCGTGAAATGATAGTCACGAACTGAGGCGATAGACGTGACGAGGTGCTGGAAAATAAGTAGAGAGATGAGGTAGATGAATTTGCTGGCCAGACAAATATTAGCGGGGGTAGTGAGGCTCGAGTGGTGCAGGATGTCGGCCTAAATTCCAGTCCATCGGTCCACGCATAGGTACAAATTAAAGTGAGTATCGCTCCACGACAACTCATGAATATATGCGGTATAAAACGGTCTGCGATAAACACATCCGCATTAAACTGTCCTTATTCGCAACTAGACTCAATGAGAGGGTGCCTGGCCCTTGAGCGGGATGTATACTGGCTAGGAAGCACCTAATTAACTAGTTATATCTGCCTACTCATAGTTCTACAACGGCAGCCGGCAGGCAGAGATGTTTCGTGTTGCATATTCGCCGGGTTCTTACATTTACATGTCAAAGACTATTTTTCTTTCTATGTTCTTTTAATACGGAATATCTCAGTCTCGTCAGGCAGCATGTAAAGAAGCATATGGGATTCATGGATTGGGGATATAAAGCAAGCAAAGTAGCTACTTGCTCCCTTTTTCTTATCACTTTCCATCCACCATAAGACTACTCATTCTGCTTAGTGTATCTATTCTAAATGCAGAAATTCCTCTGTTGCAGGGTACTAGTTACCAGACTCCAATATGCCGGTACGTAGATCCGCTACAAGCAGTGGATATAAGTCCTAACACTCTGCTTTCAGCAGTATCCACAGGGTTATTTGTACAGTTCCAGAAGAATTCACGAAGAACCTGTCAACTAATCAATATATATCAGTATCTTCAGCGCAGCCGAATGCATATCTGACTTCAATCGGCTCCGATCAGGGCCGGAAGCCACCAGACCCAAGTTCATGATCTACAAGCTCTCCGATGACAACCAAGACATCGTAGCCGAGGAAACATCCACGGAGAAAGACTACGACACATTTCTCCTGAAGTTATGGGAATCAGTCGACAAAGATGGCAATCTGGCTCCACGGTATGCAATTTACGACATGGAGTATGATCTTCCAGAGGGCGAAGGAAAGCGGTAAGAGGTTACTCCAGTGGCCTAATGAGTGCAGTGGAATATTGTCGCTAATTCTAGTCACTGGCTGTGCAGTAACACGACCCTCTTCGTCCGCTGGGGGAATTGCCACGCGCCTCTCAAGGTAATTTGCCATTCAACTCGCGTGTCCATTGTGTGGCCATAAACGTGCTGACTGTATTGGTTTCAGCAAAACATGCGGTATCTTGCAAGGATGCAATTCAGAGGAGTTGATCCCAACGTCTTGGTTGTTGAGGCTGACAGCCTGCCAGATCTTTGATTGGGACTACCTCGTGAAGGTGGCCAGTGGGGGCCAAGAGTAGATGGATCTGGGGAAATGATCGGCGTTGCCGAAGTACTATGCATGGAGAGGGATTGTTTCAGAGCGAGGTAACGAAGTAGGGAGAGCAGACAAAGCACTGGATATGAAATTTATTTTGAAGTGTTTGAAGATGTGCTCAATTAGATTATGCCTTTGCAAGTGTATATGCTTTGACATTGTATGATGCGACATCCATGTATTTCATCCAACCAGCTTGTATAGCGCGAGCCACAAGGAATGATAGTACCACTTGGCGTGGCGTCACTCCATAGGTTGGGCCGAATACGCGAGGTCCTTTTTTTCAATTGCTTTTAATCACTTTGTGTAGGTCAATATAAGACCAGAGTTTAGAGCAAGAGACAAGTTGACAATGTCAAAAGCAAAGCGAGTACAAAATGAGTATAAAGAAAAGATACAGAAATGAAATCAAGGCGGAGAGGAAGGCTTATATCTCCGCATTCGGGCACGTGCCAATATGACATTTGAGTCTGATCATTCCGCCACTTCGACTTTGAATCCTTCCTCTTTGCTTTTGCATTTCCCTTTGCATCTTTTATTTGACAGGTGCACGGGAAAACCTTGCTAAGCTCCCCACTTTCTCACCCAACACCCCACATCCGGAGATCGCGAAAATGATGGCCACCGGGTCTCGCGATTCCTCAGTTCGTGAGGCCAAAGTATTCGTCAAGGAAGTCGTCCGCAATGACTGGGATTTCGAAGCCGGCGTTCCCTCCCCGTCATCCGCCGATGGAACCCTATGCAACAACCGCGAAGTGTGCGAATGGCGAGTCCGAGAATTCGACACCCCCACCTCGGAACTTGAACCACAAAGCTCAGATAGCGAGGCAGAATATGGAGAGTCAGCTGGGGTGAAATCCGCCCCCGGAGATGCGGGCGTGGAGCGGCGTCGCAAACGTCGTCGACAGATGGACGACGAAATGGCATGGAACGAAGGGCTACGCGTATGGATGGCCAGACGCGATGCGTGGTGTGGAGCGAAGACTCGGCGCCAGATTCGAGCTGAGGAAGCAAAGCGTGCGTTGGCTGGTACACAGACAGATACAGCAGATCAATCCGATAGCGTGGGATTAGGAGAAAATAATGCGACTTCGTCGTCTTCATCCCAGTCTGCGAAGTCGCCTGGTCAGGGTAGTGATGGTATTGGCGCCTCTGATCTGGCAGCTCGGACCGAGACGTCGCTCTCTGTCGCGGATCGGGAGAAAAGTGAGGAGCTCCAGCATCGAGTGGATATGACCTCGGGACAGCAAGAGGATCAGGAGGAAGGATTGTCAACCGCGCCAGACGAGGGAGCTAAAAGGAAGGCATCGTCAGAGACCAACATCACAGTTCCCGATCAGAAATTTGCCGCAATCGTGCCTACTCAACCAACCTTACCGGCTGTGGAGAACCAAACAGAAGAAGAGAAGGAAGAAGAAGAGCTTGATGAACCACTCTGCCCCGTTGCCCCTCCTTTCATTTCAGACGACAACCCAGTTCGCGCAACCATCAATCCCGCAATCTACCCTTCAATTTACACCAAGGTTGTCGTGCAAGGCATGACCCCCACCGTCCCTGTCAACCTCGCCCATCTGACCAAAGCCATGGTCCAAGGCTGGAAATCAGACGGGCAGTGGCCACCAAAGCCAGCCGTGACATCGATTGTCCTTGCTGATGATGCTTCTGTGCCCAAGAAAACCACTGAGGAGCCACCACAGGGCAGGAGAAAGAACAGCATTACCAATGCTGTGAAGAAAGTTTTCCATTTCGGATCGCATCCCTTCCATCGACGCGCCAGCCAGGATACCGGGAATGGAGGTGCCACTGGCCCGACGAACTAAAGCTTGCTATCTTCCCATGGATCATAAAGTAATTGCATAGCCATCAACGCTAGTGCGGATGAAATGGCCTCACTTAGGGTTGCTCTGGCTCTGGCGTCTGTTCTGGGGGATCTATTGTTTTCTTGCGTGTTCATAATCTGAGCATCCATGGATGCCGGTGTTTGATTTACTTTCTAGCTCTGCACAATGAAGGAATGTCATATGATGTGTAATGTGTCCAATCTTACGTCGTAGAAGAGGTGGCTGCCTCACTTCAACGTGTTTTCTCTCCTTGAATCTCATGACAAACAGTTATCGCGAGAGGCGGCTATTGATACTGGTCTTTGCAAGTCGTTTTCCATAATCCAACTCACGGCTTTGAGCTCGGAGAGCCACCCAATTCTCCTTCTTTGCCAGTAGGATTTCGATATCACTCTGAACCCAATCTTCTTCAAATTCCGGCAATAGATATTCCGTGGGCTTTCCTTCCGCGCAGCCTGCGAATTCTCGCAACCAGCCATAATATTCCACAAAATCGGGGTTTATCTCGTGGAAGAGCTCGGTAGGACCCTTGTACTGTAGTCTCTTTTCCACCCATTCATCTTGTTCTGCTTTGCTTGGCAAGTCTTGAGAACGCCCGGCCAGGAAGCGACTGACTGCCACAGCCTGATACTCGTAGATGCGAAAGCTAATTGCTGCTCTGACCTTTGAGCGAGTCAGCACAAAGTCCCACCAAATTCTTTTGAATACTGTGATTGATAATGGAACCGGGAGACTCACCTGTCCGATGATAGCAAGGGAGGGATCCCCGATACGGAAAATGTGCTGGTAGAATCCGTCCAGTCTGTTCTGTGGAGTAACAGCCTCGAAAGGCAAAAACGGATAGGAGAGTTTGTATCCCGTTGCGAAAATGATCTTGTCAAAGGTGATGCTTGTTCCATCCTGGAATTCTACCGTACCACCAGCGGCAGAGGATATGCGCGAGATGGTTGATTTATCGACCACGTTGGGAAGAAGCCATGCATCTTCGAGAAAGCCCACGTTCCCACGTCGGGAGACATAAAGCGGGCCCTTGACGATTTGGTGGAGGTCTTCAACAAGGTCTGCAGCGGATATGCCGCCGCCAACGATGACAACTTTCTAGAACCACCCAAACAGATCAGCATGTAGTTGACTGGAATGAGTTGCTTTTATTCTTCTCTCAATCCTCATGACGCACCTTATTGACATACGAATCCTGAGATCTCCAGGATTTGGAATGCTCAAACTTGTCCGGAAACTCAGCGGAGGTCTCGACTAGACCTTCAATATTAGGAAGACTAGGAACTGTAAAATGACCCGAGGCTACCACCAATGCATCAAATTGCTCCTCCCACCAGTAATCCTTGGGTTCACTTGACGTGCCGTGTTGGACATTTCGGCGCCGTAGCGTGAGCTTCCATTTGCCATCATCTGTTTTCACAGCAGTTTCAACAGTGGTGTCAAGCACAAGTAAATGTAAAAATGGAATGAATAATTCCTCCAGGTAGCGTAAGACAATGTGACGCGGTCGAGTTGGATTGTCTCGGCCGAACTTTTCTATTGAGGCTATCGAGTTGCTCATTGGTAGTGCCGTGTGCGTGAAGGCCATTGTTCGGGCCCCGGCATTAGTATCGAGGGTATCATAGGCCGAACCTTGGATACCCTGAGGCTCTGGGGTCGCTGGCATGAGACATGGAGTCTTAGGTCCAAGTTTCCTGGGGATTTCAGGGATCTCGCTTTGGGTATTCACCTGAAAACTGTCTGGTTCTGGGTCATAGGCCCTAGACGGCTGGTCAGTAAATAGTATTGAATAAAACCCGAACTTAGTGCTATAATATAGAAGTTCCTTTGGTATAAACGGCCCCCAAAGACCAAAAAAAAGAGCGAAAAGGTGTCAAATAACGGGACATGCTAACCATAAACCGCCAACCCTACTCTTTCGTTCGAAAACCCGGATATAATCAAAACCCTCTTGCTCAAGTGCTCTCACAGCTGCCAGACCGGAGGGCCCTGCTCCAATAACAGCGACTCGACGATAAGGAGGCATATCTTTGTTTCGAAATGAGGAAAAGTGGACCTTCTGGCTAGAGGGGTCAGGGGCTTAATTTTCAGCTTCTGTACAATGAAACTATTGAAATCGAAGAGAAAGAAGGGAAAAAAAGGATAGTATGCCCTAATCTGCGGGCATAAGTCCGATCTTTTCTAAAGTAGTTTAGCCTTGGGGGTGTGCCCATATTTAATATCGGCAGATATCAGCCCCCAATCGACCCGACATAAACATTGAAGTTATAATGAACACAGTTATCCTTAACCGCCAAACCCCCCTGGTCACTCAAAATAGTCTGTCTATTCCTCGTCACCTTGAAAGACTGCCCACCAACCCCCATAGGCACATTCGAGGTAACAATCCCCGCCGGAACATCAATGCTAACAGGAGCATTATTCCCACTTTGCACTGTCAAGGTAGCCGGACTAGTCAACATAGTCGTGACAAAGATACTATCACTGAGCATGTTAGCACCCATTGGTGCTGAGAGGGTATCACCCGTGCACACGACGCCCTTGGGTGTAGGTCGGTACCAGTAAACGACTTCATCCGCTTCCACGGTAGGGGCTTTTGCTCCGGATTTATAGGCTGCGATATAGGGCTTGAATAGGTTGCGCCAGCCATCATGGGGCATGTTGGCAGCCCATTGGGATGATCCATCATCGCTGTGATGCGCTGAGTAAGGGCCGATGTAGTGGGATTCGCCATAGTCTATATATTTGCGGTTAGCAGAGACTCTTTTCTAGAATTTCCCCAGGATGTAAGGTTAGTGTACCATTCCATGAAATTATCTCAATCAGATCTGGCTGAAGGGAAAGCATTTGTTCCCAGCGTAGTGTTGGCAGATTCTCGCAAACGAAAACCCAATTTTTGACGTTGAAGTGGGTTGAGAACCAGGGCGAGACGGCTATCATTGAGTTAGTTTACTATTCACTCAAAGATCAGAAAAAATGCAGGGGCTTCTAACGGGCCATATACGATTTCCCCGCAAGGAAATGAACAAATCTATCATCCCAGACAGTAGTCATCGGTCCCGGGATGATACTATTTCCCCCATCAGTAGGCCAAGCCAACCACGAGAACGCACCATCAGCGCTTCTGGCAGGGCCGGTAGTAGCCTCGGCCGGATCTTGAAGATTCGGCAATGCGTAAATGGGATGCGGTGTGCCCTGTCTCACTGGATCCCAATTGAAACTGTCTCCGACAAATGTACTGACTACAGCAGCTCCCTTGTATTGCATCTGTGCTGGGTGGCCTGCATATTGCTTCATGTACTCTGTGATCTTTGCGGTGTCCCCGTTGGTCCAGTAGGCGAAGTCGAAGGAGATGAATACTTTGAAGTTGACTTGTTCGGCTGCTTCGTAAGCTAGGGCTAGCTGGGTTGGTGTATAGCTGTCTATGCTTGCGCAGTTCAGTGCGAATGCGTCGATGCCGACGGATTGGGCTGCGGCCATGTCTTCTTTCCAGTCTGATAACTGGTAGTCTTTTACTATGCCGACCTAGATAGGATTTATGTTAATGGTGGGGGGTGATAGGTGTTTATGTGTTGACATACCATGAAGTGGGCAAAGACATATTTGCCTGGCGATTGACTACTCTGCGAATCGAGAGTTGGGGCAGCTAAAGCTGAGAAGATATGTGCCAATATGACCACAGCACTGAAGAGAGATTTCCAAATCATAATCGCTAAATTTATAAGTTGACTCCTTAGTGATGTGCATTTCCGAGGCCCATCAACAGATTATATAGCTAATTTACCCTTCACTGATATTATACATCCCAAAATGCACTAAACTCGAAACGAATAAAGCCAGACAACTGAAATATCAATATAAACCTTGGACAATAACTTCAACGGCGAGTATAAAACTCGTTTCTCTCTTCCCGGACCAGACCATTGTAACACCCGACATTCCATACATCCACGTGAGATTGTGTAGTATTCGCAGATTTCCCCTGTGATTCTAACTTTTGTTTTTCTTAGCATATGCAGATGGTATTGCCCGAATACCCGTCTATCACCGGAAACGGATTCAATCGTTGAAATGCTACAGTAGTGCTGAGTATCACAGGCACTATTCTCAAATCAGGCTTTATATGCCAGCTGATCGCAAATGAATATGCTAAGCATATGAAAATGATTGGTACAACTCAAGTCATATATCAACACCCATATCGTTTTTCGATGTACTTTGAGCCGGATGACGAATCATTACCTGGGGCTTTCGCTCGTGTCCCATACGCATGACTGAATTTCAAAATGACGAAATAATTTAGCACGGGGGGAATCGATTGCCGCAAGGTGCCATTCAACTCGAAATGCCACCAGAGCATACACAACGTGCCTGGAGGGAATAAGGTATGACAAGTTGGATCTGAAACGCAGGTAAATCATGGCGGTCAACGGAGATTGTAACGTTATTCTGTGGTGGCCTGCATATCCAGGCCAGTATAGGACATGCAGCCCTAATGTTCTTCAATTTGAAGAGAACGAATATTCTATAGCTTTTGATAGAGAGAGTATACCAAATCGCCACTAAGAGTAAGTAGTCTTCATTATATGATTAAATAAACCCATCCAAAAGAACACGACACAAGATGACATTATTGATTCCTTTCTAATATTCGTGACACGTTAAAGCCTCCCCCAAGAACGCCGTGTATATAAAGACCGAAAAGAATATCCTCGCGGTCAAGACACCAACTCCAGAACCTTGGCACGATCGACGAATCCCCTCGCAGCATCCTCAAAGACATTCTGCGCTTCACTCAGACTAGCCACCAGAACAGCAATCTCAGGCTCGATTGTGACCTCCTGGGACTCATGACCAGGACGAGTGAAGTAGTACTTGTCCTGATGGTGAGACCATTTTCTGAGATAGAGCTGGAGATCATTCGAGGCGAGGTTGTTAGCCGTGCTGAAGAGCTCAGTTTTCCTGCTATCGGAGGGCGGCGGGACCATAGGGAATGTGATACGGGCATTGCTCGAGGGCGAGTCCATGTCTGAATCTGTGATTTGTAGACATTGGCCCACGGCTTTCGCGAAATCGCGGATCCACTCGATGTGCGTGAAAATACCCTCCCCTTCGCTGGTGGCTCGATCGATGTAATCTATCACTGGCAGGGCCGAGGAAATCATGTCTAGGAAGGCGGCAAGCATGAGTAGAGTTGTAGGACTTTGCAGACGATGGCGACGGAAGGCGACCAGACCCAGTGCTTGGCAAGAGGCTCGGTACACAACATCGATGATATCGACGACAGAAGCCACACAGGCTTCGTCCAGAGTGTCTATGTTACACACCAAATCCTTGAATTCCAGTGTGATGGTCTGGATGATGGGACGGCTGAGGATCCAGGCGGCGCGGTTGGGAAGCGTCGCTTCCAGGTACGCTGGAAACACGCATTGCAAGAGGACGGCGCGGAGAGTGGGTTTGTCGGGGTCCCCAGCTTCGTAGGTATTCTTCATTGATGTGTGCAACTGGTCAACCAGGTAGCTCTGTTGGCCGTCAATGGCTGCGCGCTCGGAAATACTCTGGACGAACCCGGTCAAGGTCTGGATCTCTTTGCTGGAAGATAACTTCGACTCGTAGCGTTTGAGCTTCGCAACAATGTAGCGCGGGTCGGTAGACGGCAAGGGGAACGAAGCAGGGTCCGTGAAGAAGGGGTCGATGGGTTTGATGTCGCTGGTATGTTGCTGAAGGAAGCCGATGACGCGTTGAACGAACTCGACGTATTCTCCTTGAGCAGCCTGCACAGTTCCATTACCTAGCTCTTGGTAATTGTCTTTCATAGAAGTCATGAGCCGCTGAAGCATCTCAGAGTATTCTTGCTTGGTCACGGAGACATTCCGATTGCCAGAAAGTTCCATGCCCTGGAGCTGCTCACGCATATTAGATGATAAACTCGAGAGAAGAGATAGTCGCCGAGAGCCAATTTCCTCCAATGTGATTGTATACCGGTCAATCTTCGTATCCTTAGAGAACGGAAGATTGGCAAGCAAGGGATCTGTGGGATTTCCGTTCAAAAGGGCCTCTGTGAGGCGATGTTGAAACTTCAACATCGAGGAGCGCTCGACCAGCGATGACATCCACATACTCATAAGTTGGATTCGGCAATCAGAAATAATCTGCACGTCCTTTTCAATACATGCGGCAAGGAACAGCGGGCCAAACTTTCTTGTCTGAACTGTCTGTCGAAGCCGCGTCCAGGAATCATCGCCGAACTCGCTCAGATAATTGTCCCAATTTCGGAGGCCATGGCGAATGAGAACCTGGGCGATTGACGTCCAGCATTCTATCACGCTGAGAAGAATCGCATCCTCTGGGCAGTGGTCCTCACCAAAGCAGTTTGAAACGAGACGAGAGACAATCGGATGGAAAGCCTTCTCTATATGTTCAATGCCTTCACTAGTGGGACTTTGCTGGTCCCAAACAGCCTGAATGGCATCCCAGTCACCGAACTCCTGGCTGTCCTCATCAGTGTTTACCACCGCAGGAGCATCTGATGTGGATGTAGCTGGAACGTCTTTCAGGGTGTACGCTACCAAGACCTGCAGTGCCTCGGAGACAACGACATTCACACGCGGGAGCTTGGGGTTGAAAAGTGTAAGGATAGACTCGAAAGGAGCTCTCAGAACAAGCCTGTGTGCATGCTCCAGCTTCGGAGCTAGCTGGACAGCAATCCGTAGCCCGCTAAGCGCGTTGCTCAACAGGGTCTCAATCTGCCGCTGGTTCTTGGAGATTGTGCGTTCAACATGCTGTTGAGAAACCTCTCTGTCACCTGTGATTTGAGCCTCAATTTCTTTGCGAGCATATGAATGCTGTTGCTGCAGCTCCGTAACGAAATAGCCATACCAGTCCCCAAACGGATCTAGTCCCGCAATATCTTCATCCGTAGATAGCTTGAATCGAACAAGTCTTGACCATGAGCGCAAATTCATGCTGCACGCTTCACGATGTGAAGTGGCAGGATGGACCAGATTACGTATCGTCTCCAGTCGAGGGCGACACCCATCGGGAACAGCCCAGTACAGGGTGCTGAGAAGATCATGGTGATTTCTTAGTGCTTCGAGATCCTCATGCCGCAATCGCTTCTCTTTCGGGTATACACGACCGTGGTTAGGTAGCAGACGCCAGGCAAAGTTTCGAATCTTTTTCTTGTCATATCTCTTCGCCAAGAACCGGAGACCACTCGCTAGGATCTTGAGAAATGTGTGGAAACACGGTTCCCCCACTCGGGCATCCAGGGAGGGATTGTTATCAAGTTCGTCAAGAAATGAAGGTGAACCACGAGCTTCCTCAAGTTGCAGGTTGTGGAGGGAATTCTTGGCAAAGAAGTCGAATAGCGTGTCCAAGATAGGTTTGCATTCTCTCCACCCCCAGGAATTGATAAGCCGATGACATCTGAGGAACAGGGTTTGACAGTAGTTGTTGTATGAGATGGGATAGGCATTAGAGTTGGACTCGAATTTGTCCAGGGCTGGGGCAAGAAGCCGTTTCGCTAATTTCCAATTGTCATTGACAGCTGTCAACTGATAACCAGGGCGCGCAATCCCAAGCGGATCTATTTCGTTGAAGGGTAAGACTGTGAATATGCCACGCCATCCAGCCTCCAGGCTACCCACATCCCTTTCATTGCGAATGATTCCATTGTTGAAAATCTCAAGCTGAAGATCTTCAAACCAGCCCTTACAGTTGTCTGAGCTGCGTAGAAGATGTTTGGTGACAACGTAAGCCTCCACCGATGGATACTCATCGCGAATCCCCGACTCGCGGCGTTCAGGCTCGCTGTTTTCCTTGAACAACGTTTTAAACTCAGAAGAACCGACTTTGGACGTGATCAAGCTTGCAACGTCTTTAGCGGATATTTTGACAAGATCCAAAGCTTCAGTCGCCAGGGCAGGGCTGACGAGCCGATGAGAAGCAACTTGATAGATCTGGTTCGAGAAAATCATGTTGAAGCAAGCAATCTTGACGAGCCCGCTCTTGTTGTATTCATCGCTAGTCAGAAACGCAGCCAACGGGTCTCTCACCTGGGAGACCAGCCCCGTTGCTCTAGTGACAAAACCTGTACGATCAACCGGGTCGATGAAAACTAGATTTTCCGTGATGTATCTGACCAACAATCTGTATAGCCTCGATGCCACACCCAAAGCAGCCGTAATGCCCGTCTCCGGGGAAGTGACAGCACTTCGCTCAACATTATCGATTATCACATCAAAGACCTGCCCCATCTCCGATGATACTGTATCGTTCCAGCGATTCCATTGGAATGTCACGTCTCTGAGCTGGATGGAGAATGCAGTGGCACCCCCATCGAAGTCCCGCTCTGCGATTCGTAAAGAACGAGAAAATTCCCCGCTTCCTATGAATGTAGTCTCATGGAAGAATGTATTGTCGCGCAGAGATGGTACTCCGAAGTCGACCGGGTAGAAGCGTTGCCAGTTGAAAAGCACGCCGGCACTGGAAGACGAAGGGCGTGCGTGTCCGACGTGCGTTATGGTAGCAGGTTCCGATCCATCGGAGACTATGGTAACAGGATCTGGATTATGACGGAATTCATCGGCATCGAGATTGATTCGGTTGGGTGGGTTCTTCTTCGGCCGCCGTCGAGACACAGGGGCTTTGGGGGTTAGCCTTTGCGTTCGTGATTCAGCTGAGGTGGCAACAGCAGGAGCAGTAGCACTCATGGGCGAGGAAATGCCTCCAGTACTTAATGATCCACTGTCGGAGACATATCGATCCAAGGTCAAACTGGGCTTGTAAGGTTTAGATGTTCGCTGGTTCTTATAGTGTCTGTTAAGAATAGACAATGACTGATTGAACATGGCCGGAACCACTTTTTGGCTCTTACCAGGGCCTGCCAAACTAGTTGCCGCAGGCCTAATGGTATTCCTCTTCAAGGATGTTATGGCAACGTTCCTAGGAACAACCCACGTGTGACCGCGCTGCTCTGGTTTTCGACGAGACGAAGTCACGGCCACTGGGGCTTGGTTTGGCGGAGCTGGTATTGTGTTAGATTCAGGCGGTGTCTGTGCCTGTTCTAGTTCCACTGTGTCGGTGTTCGAGACATCAGCGTCTGCCTCTGCATCAAGGAATTGGCTCGGTATCCGGTCATCTTTAGTGTTCGATTTTGCTCGAGCACTGAGAATCGAAAGAGTTGTTGTCCAGTGTCGGTATTGGCGAACTCTCGGACGAGGTGGGCTAATCTTAGCCTGCCGAATAGCTCCCCTTTTCCAATCTCGCAAAGACTCATTTGCATCCACTGTGTCATCCCTTGAGGCCAGTTTCACGAACTTCTGAGTAGGACTCTGCCTGCCTCCATCTTTGCGTGAGCGTGGTCGTCTTGTCGCTACCCTGAGCAGTCGCGATTGCTCTTGGCGAGGCTTTGTGGCAACATCTGGTGCATCCAGTATTCCTATTCTTGGTCGCTGGACAGTCGAGGATTTCTTAGCCCTTCGTGCTCCATACGAGGCATCAGTCATTCGAGTTTGTCGAGGTCTCTTCGGCTGTCTCTCCCCATTGAGCAAACTTTGTTTCGATTTTGGCCTTTTTAGACTGTTTGTTTTGTGCCGAGAACCTGTTGAGTTGCGCAGAGCAGACGCAAACATGTAGTCGATGCGATTATCCTCAGAAATATCACCCCCTTCCAGCACGAAGGGGTCTTCGAGGCCAAGAGTGCCAGTCAACCTCTGGCTGGAGTCATTGGCTATGGAGGCATTTCCTGTGGCATCATTTCGGCTGTCCTCATCGTCCGAGTCAGAATCTCCAAGATCAAACAAGCCTCTTGATGGTTGCGTTCCTAGTTCCCTTGAGCGATCGCCCTTTCGAATGAGCTTCCGCGCAACACCCTTTCCATCCGGTCGTTGCGAAGAAGCATGACGATCTAATTGTGCGGCTTTTTCTTTATCTGCAATTTGCTTCTGATTCAGTCGAGCATGTGACGCAGGGAGCGCTCCTCGGATCATTCGTTGGAATCGTCGGATTTCACGTTCTTCAGCATCTGACTTGGTTTCTTCTGGATCACTCTGGCTGTTGGATGAGATGGACTGTACTTCCTCGTCATCATCTGTACCCGCACCAGGTAATTGAGCCTCACTGACTTCTTCTACTTCCTGTGCCCCGGGTTTCGCAACTTCTCCCGGCGGCAACCACCCACGAGGAAACCGGAAGCCTTCTTCTGAGGCACGAGGGGTTCTTGAGTTTGAGGATAAACGGCCTGCATGTGGGGGACTTGATGATAGGTCATATATGGAGATACCTTTTTGATTCCCAGTAGGTGTATTGTTGTCTCTAACGCCACGAGGTTTGCATGGTTGGTGTAAGTTTCGATGTTCATTGGGAGTTCCAGAATGAGATGTCTTCCGCCGCTTTGCCAGATGATTTTGCGATGGCCGAGGATGATCTGGGTCGTTGTGTCCCCGTCCTTGCCCAGCAGATTGTGGGCCACGATGCCGTTCGTGTCTTATTGGCGGAAGATATTCTTCCAGGGGAGGACTTGACGGAGGTGCATCGGGATCATATGAATCTTGCCCTTGACTTTCATCAGTGATATGCTGTCTTTGCTGTGGAGGTCGACCAAAAGGCTTGACACCCCTTGCTTGCAATTGCTGGGCAAACTTGAGCTGTTCCAGATGGTATGGATGCATTTGGATGGCATTGCGCTTTCGGAATGTTCTTTGCGCAGCATGCGGTAATTCTCGCAACACTTCTTCGGGGATACCAAGGTGAGGTAATACATCCTCTGTGTTGGCGTCTGGTTCAGCGAGCACTGCGTTCCGTATATCTGCCTGCTCGCCTGCCGGTCTTTCTGGTTCTGCCTCCATCACAGCATCGGCGTGTATTTCTGTAGGATGGTTGGCCGGCGGAGAGCCAAAGGATGATGGCACAGAAGATAATGGAGAGTCATCTTCCGAAGCCTCCTGTGGTGGTGGTGGTGGTGGTAATGGTGGCGGCTCTATTGGCTGGACATGCTTGGCCATAGGCTTTTTTTCCGAGTTGGGCGAGGAATCAACGCCAACTCGTCAGGCGAGGAGCTCCTAGTGCTTGAGGCTTCATCTTGTGTATGGGAATTTGAGTTGTGTGGCTCTACTATAACCTGTAATTGGGAGGGCCGCTTGGTCTTCAAGGGCTTCGGTGTAGACTCGCGGCTCGAGGGCTCCGACTGAGGCCTGTCATGTTCCTGTGATGACGTTGGAAAATCGTATATGCTTTCTTTATTCTTTGCAGGGGCCCGGGTATTCTGCAGCTCGCCGCTGCGGCGATCCGTTGATTTCGTAGCGGATGATCGAAGTCCGTAAGTCTTGCGCCCTCTTCTTGGTTTGGGTGTCGTTTCATCATGCGCGGCATTTGCCAGGTGAGGACTTGCTCGATTCGGGTCCCGACGAGCCACCTCCTCCGTATCTGAGAGTGTGATGGAGCCATTCTCAGCCCGTTGTTCCTTCGTTACACTCGTCGTCCCTTCCTTCGGTGACGATGAAGGGTTGTCGATATATTCAAGATTTTCGAGAGCAGGGCTATTTTCGGCATTGCCCTTCTTCGAATCTAGAGAATCGAAGCCATCTTCCTCGTCCGAGTCGGGGACATATCCTCGTTGTCGCCATGATTCCATTTGCATCCTTGGCGGGGATCCCCCATGTCTCTAGACAGTCATTCGGTGGTCTTGAGGCGATAAAAGCGTGAGCAAAATAGTTTTCAGGTCAAAATTCGCGAAACATGAGGAAATCAAACGTCGGACAACTATTCAAACTGTCTGAATGCTGAGAATTTGATTCTGACGCGTGCCAACGAAGCAATTTAGCAGACGCGCCGGCTGCTAATCAGCCAACTGATAACCGATTTCCCCCGGGGCCGTATCACCTCCGCAACCTCCAACCCTCAACTGCAATTCGATCTCGCTGTCTACCTCAATCCCTCCGAAATGAGTCGCAATTTCTTCCCTGCTCTTTTCGCTATTGGCGTGGGTGTCTTCACAGGTAAATTTACTCTACAGCAAGAATAGCCCATGTTTGATATCAGTCCCTAATCTCGAATTTTTCTATCTGCTCCAGGCTACTATACCTTCCAACCAACATTCCAGCAACTTCAATATCAGAAAGAGCACGCTCAGAAGACCTCAACCCCGTCTGATCCTGCTGCTCTGAAGCAGGACACCGATGCTCCCACCAACGGCAACTTTCAGCAAGATCCCAAGTCGACAACTCAATGACGATGACCCGCCTTCCCCTTGAAGTGGCTATCTGAACACTGAATTGGCCTGAGTACCACTAAGCGTGATTGTGCAAGTAGCCTGTTCTCTACGCACTATGCTCTTTTGGAAATCATGCCATTCCCCGCGCTCCGAAGCTCCGGCGCACACGGCACCATGTCTCGCTGTGCCACTCAGGTCTTATGACCGGCCCTGGAGGCCGTTGTATATATGGAATTGGCATAGCGGCCAATTCTGAAGTATAGTTGTGGGTAGAGTACTGAATTGTGACCTATAATTGGCTAGTCCGCGTCCTAGTGAGGGTTTCTGACTAGTGAAATATAAAAGCCGGAGTTCTCGGCATATCCATGTGTATCTGGAAACATTTGAAACAGTCGGTGTATTATTGCATGACCTTTAAACCTTGACATTTGGAAGAGGCGCGTTTTGAACGCCGTTCGCAGCACACGCAGAAAATCAACCCTAGTCCCTTGCAAATGATGTAGTCCATTCCCGAATACCTTAATAGAAAATCCTTCCATAAGCGCCAATCCGTTGTAGTTTCTGCATGTGACATCAAACTTCTTCAACCATTTTTCCCGCGGGGACTGCAGGTGCGCCGAAAACACGCCCAGCAGGCGTGCCCAGCCATTCTTCTGGCACGCCGACTTTGCAGCCATTTGGACCACTAATCCACCGCACCAGGGTAGGGTCAGCTTTCTCAACATCCGCACCTTCTTGGCCCGGGGTTCCATCAGCGGCCTCGGCCGCTTGTCGACCACGCCGCTTGGGGGCCTGCTTTTTTAGCAGTCGATTAATTGTGTCCATCTGTTGTTCAGAGTTAGCGGCCGTTCTCCAATATATGTATAAAGTTCCCTTATTGCGCATACTTTTTCCTCTTCATTCCGTTTCTCACTCAGGTTCTTCCTTCGCCGCGCCATCTCTGCGCGACGCATCTGGCGCTCCTCAGCGGTCAGATGCTTCTTGACCTGGGGCTCTGTTTTTGAGTTAGCTTTGGTTTCAGCAAATTGTGAGTAGTCTGTAGTTTCTCACCCATGGGAAGTTGCAAGAAATCATTTCCAAGGTTTCCTCGCTGGCGCTTGGTGGTCTTTCCGCTTTGAATAGCGAAAGCATCACTATCCATGCCGTCGTCTATTTCATCTTCTTCGTCAAGCTCATCCAGATCATCAACATTGACGTCTGGAACTGCAATTTCATCCTGATCTTCGCCCTCCGCTTCGGCATCTTCATCCGTATCGGAGATAGGCTCTTCCTCGTCATCCTCGTCTTCTTCGTCATCTTCTTCCATTTCCATCTCCTTGGCCTCAACACTCTTGGGAGGCTTGGCGCGTGATGAAGGACTGATCTTACCGCGCCTAGCAGGCGGCTGAGGCGGCATGTCGTCCATATCGATGTCACCGTCAGCATCAGCATCAGCGTCAGCATCGGCATCTTCATCATCATCGTTATCTCCAGGGGCATCTTCATCGTCGACTTCATCCTCTTCTTGATCATCGATTTCCTCTTCGTCGCTAGTAGCAACTTCTACAATCTTCGTTCGGTTCCGACTGGAGCGGGGTCCCGAAACAATGGGATCTTCCCGGAACACATTGACTGAGCGCCGTCCAGCAGCGCGACCAGCACCCGTGGCTTCCCGCAATTTGCTGGAGGGCATTTTGACAGTAAGACGGAGGGATCTTTTCCGATCTCCTGAATTCAATTCAGATCGAGAGACTGAGACTAAGGCAGATGCAGAAGTAGAGGCACGAGTTTGTCTCGTAGACCTGGTGGTCATGTTAGCATCTGTTTCCGGGGTGTCATCTCGTGTCTTTCGCGATCGAAGGGACCGACGGAGCGACATAGTGGCAGCTTTAGGAGTGTGACAGAAGTCTTGGGGAAAGTGAAAATGCAAAAAGTAGAACAGCAAAAAGAAGCGGGACAGGGAAGGTCAATAGGCAAGTGTGTGGCAGTATGAACTAAGCCATTAAGCCTTTTGGGGAGGGGAACTCTGGATGGAGAGAGAGAGAAGAAAGGAATATCCAATCACTTCATCCCCCGGATTTGCAAACCGGGAAGATACAGCTGTGCTTTCTATAGGGGAGTTTTCCAGTGCGAACAAAGCGCACTGGTTACAGGGGATCAGGCTTTTGGTTTCTCCCTTCCCTGGGTTCGGAGTCTAACGAACGCCCCGGGGGCCTTGGGCAGATAGGAAGGAACGCAAGATCAACGGGGGAAACGCCATACTCACAGGTACTTTTCTCTAAGGTTTCGGATTCTTCAAGTGTCCAGTCGCTGACGCTGGATGAACGAATGGAGTACTGCGCGGTCCATTCTGCCGGGCGGTCTCGAGTACGCCGTTTGGAACTATATGATCTTTCGATATTCAATTAATCTCTCCAGATAGAATATAAAAGTAGATGTATAGGACTCTATAGTCTACAATAGGAGCTGGAGTCAGGTGGTATGGCTTCGTCTCACAGGCTATTTTCGGTATAGAACAGTGCAGGTACATGTGTATCTTTTGTTTTCTATTTTGGATATTCAGATATAGCGAATATAGCTACCTAAATACAATTCAAAATACAATTTATATCGAGGTTTGACTTAACTAATATCATAATCTAGTACTTCATACAAAGTGAACACATATCAGTGTGATATATTTTCTATCAAGAGGTACGGCAATATTGATGCCTCAGGTGTAGCCGGTGCAACAGCCGAGGTCGGGCTCACATGGCCCCAAGTCCGGGGAAGGTTCACTCTCCTCTTAACACCCTTCCAACGCCTTTTCTTTCTCATATCTCTAGCGAATGTGTCAAATACCTCATCATGCCTGACGACTCATCCAAACCAACATCTATTCCCGCATGGCAGAGGTCCAACAAAACGGCTGAGGAGTCGCCATCGCCGACCTCCGACGATGCGCCCGCAACTACAGCCTCCACATCCCGACAAGCTCTCCTAGATCAGGCATCCAAATTCCTAGAAGACGAGTCAATCCGTGATGCACCAACAGATCGCAAGGTCTCATTCCTCGAGTCAAAAGGCCTGAGCTCAGACGATATCGAGCAGGTCCTCGGCGTCTCCCGCAACGCAGAGGCGAGCAGCAGCTCAACCACAGCCGAGGACAAAACACAGGAAGAGACACCATCTACCTCACCTACTCAATCCGAAGCCACCCCTTCTCCTCCTACCACCTCCTCGCCACCACCCAACACCATGCCTCAATCGCACCCAGCGCCAGCGCCAGCGCCAACTCCCGCCCCCCGCGACGTTCCCCCAATAATCACCTACCCCGAATTCCTCTTCGAGTCTTCCAAGCCGCCGCCCCTCGTGACAATGCGCAACCTCCTGTACACACTATACGGCGCCGCAGGCCTAGGAGCAAGCCTCTATGGCGCAAGCGAGTACCTCGTGAAACCAATGCTAGCGAGCCTAACGAACGCACGACACGAGCTCGCCAGCACAGCCGAAGCAAATCTGCAAAAGCTAAACGAGAAGCTAGAGAAGACTGTATCCGTGATCCCGGCGGAGTTAACAGCGCGCAAGGTCAAGCCCTATAGCGACGAAGAAGACGACGACGCCTCGTCGATCACCTCAGACCCAACTGAGCTGTTCCACCGGGATGTCGCAACGCAGACGAGTCCAGAGCCTACTCCGGCTCCCAGCACCACCAGCGTCGTCAATTCGGCGGACTCGATGGCCATTTCTCCATCGACGGCGGTGAACAACCACATCAGCCGCGTTGAGTCTATTACCTCGAAGCTGCGCGAAATCGTCGATTCGGAGAAGGATGCGAGTACGCTGGATGACTCTATGCGTACGCGTCTCACGGAGCTTCATCATTATTGTGATGGGCTGATCTATAGTGCTCCCACGTACTCTTCTGGGTCGTCGTACGGGGTCTGGAATTCCAATAATTCGGGCTCGAATGATAGCTCCGGTCTGCGGAAGGCGGAGGATGACGCTATTGCTGGGTTTAGAGCTGATATTCGCGGTGTGAAGGGTGCGCTGTTGAGTGCGCGTAACTTCCCTGCTAGTCGGGGTGGACGGCTTGGTGGTCTTCCCGTCGGTGGACGGTAATGGAGTTGGACTTGCAAATTTGGTGCGATTGTATGAATGTAAATAGATTGCAACGGATTTCCTAGGTGATTTACCTAGGTTTATATGGTTTATATCTTCATTTGCTCGGTTATATCTACTAACTTATAGCTTGGACCCTAGTATATATATATTGTTTGACCTGTAAAATGAAATCCATATCCTCATTTGATTTATGTCTGTCTAGCAATCTAAATAAAAGGCATCATGCAGTTAATACTATCAACCACACTTAAGAGGTGTTGGACAAGTTTCGCTTTGCTCACGACCGGACTCATGTCCCCAGGAGAGAATAGGAACGGAATAAAATACGCAAGACATTAATTGTAAAATGGACAAGGAAAATGAGAAAATTTAGAGAAACGCTGAAGTATAGAGAAAACAAGGCCAGAAATACATAAGTTATACCAAGCCTTTAGCAATCCCTCCACTCGACAAGGTACAAGGGTGTCATTTACGGAGTAGCGCGGCTCATGCTAATCAGTCGCTTCACACCGACCTGTATATACTTGTTAGTGACTATTCAAATCTCATAGGACAAAGTTAACTCACCATCCAGTTGCCACACTCATCAGTCCGGTTGGTCATGATATCAACGTGAATAGCGAGGGCTGCATTGAAATCACGTTGCTGGATTGCGCGGGCCAAGTTCGCCATGTCCTCAATAGTGTTAGGCTTGAGCAGATCCTCGTTGTTGAGATGATCAAAGAGGATGTTCAAACGGCGCTCGGCGTCATCAACCTGTGCTTTGAATGCAGCAGGGGCCCGGGTCTTGACGCGCTGCATGTCGGCCGATAGAATCTCGTAGACAGGCTGTGCGTTTGCAGGAATGTGTGAACGGTCACCGGGGGCTGTAACAAGGGTCAATTGGCTGGAATAAATTATTGTTAACAGGGATTACTCACGATACTTGGGAGCTGGAGGAGTTGGCCTCTGCAACTGGGCTGTGGGAGGTTGAGATCCCTGAGGTGGCGGTGGGATGCCCTGGGCCATAGGCGGAGGCTGTGTAGCCATAGGCGTCGTGGGCCCATATGGGTTTGCCGCGGGTGGTTGTGATACTGCTTGTGGAGCGTATGGCGAGGCAACGGCCTGGGGAGGAGGAGCCACCGAGCCACGTGCCTGCATTTGGGGGTTTGCGGCCTGGGCAGCCGGGCTTGGGGCATACCGGTTGGTTGGGGGTGGCATGCTGGGAGGCGCGTTGTAGGGCGACGCTCCGCGGGGGATTGATGCCGGGGGAGCCATGGTTGACCCCTGATTCAGCGGCGGTGACTGAGGGAGGGAGGCG